TTACATATAATAATACAATTTAAAAAAAGTATTGTTTTTAATGTTCAATACCAATATGAAAATTAAAAATAATTACTGCAGCTAAAAATGTAACTATAAAATTATACGGACAGTAAATCTATACAGTAGATAGAAAACAATAAAATAAATACCAATATAAAATTATTGAACTTTATTAAAATCAAAAATAAATAAAACAATATAAATAAGACAAATAAATAAAATATTTATAAATAATATTAATAATTAAAAAAAAGAAGACAGGTTAATTAAAATACCTATTGAACCTCAATAAAAGAATCATTTCAAAATATCGATCAGCTTTTTGAATTTCTTCTCTTATTCAATAATATTTAATAATATCATCGATTAAGGAATAATATCAATAATAATTATATTCTATAATGAAAAATGTACCTATTTATGTAATATAGATTTACGGCCATTTTTCATAAAAATGGTAATGTGACTCATGGGTGGCATGGGTATTTTTACTCAATAGTCTTAAGACGGTTGACTACTTTTCCTGAGACCGGCGGGACCCTTATTTACTCGTTAATGCTCAGGCTTGATTTTATTTGCTTTTACTTTAGTAATAACGATTTTGTTCATTTATTCCATTTATTTTGAAAGAAATTATAGTCACCGATAATGATTCATACATACATATATATATATATATATATATATATATATTTAACTATTATAACCATTACATGTTTCACAAAATAAATTCATATTTGTAGTAAAATGAAATTTGGATTAAACGCATTTAAATCAACTTTTAGTTAATACTTAAATGGAAAATGGTTTAAAAATGTCAGTACTTTGCTAAAAGTAGGTATAGTTGTCATTTAGAATCGGACCATGTATACAACATTTATATAAATTAAATTATAAAATACAGTATTAGTCAGTACAACTAAGCTTGTAAATATTTGTTTTTTTGTTTTTATTTATTTAATTAAATAACTTAATATAAACAAACTGCTTTTCATATAGTAATAATAATATTCATAAATAATTAATATTTCTCTCTCTTTAGTGTATAATATAAATATTTAAGTATACATTTTTCATATACCTAAGAAACAAATTAACACGACATACGTCATATGAGTAATAATAATAAGTCTTAGTACTACTTTAAACGTAGCCATTTATTTCGATTGTATTTACCTAATAAAAATAAACTAACTTCAACTTTATTTATCATTTTTAATTAAAATAATGGATTTAATTTTGGCTTTGTAAGCTATGAGATTGGTATAATACTGAAAACGAAAACAGAATTTATCAAAATATAGGATCCTAAGGTATACCTTAATTGGTATTTTAGACATTAAAGAAATAATTTAAAAAATAATGTACATGCAGGTATATATTTAATTTAAAAGTTAATTATGCAACAAAATATATTACAGGTGCAATATGAATGAAAATAATCGTTTATAACGCAGAATATAAATTCTGGAAATAAGATGAAAACCATACATTTTTTTAATGTTTGTATTCAAATGAAAATCATAATTATTCTTAAGATAAACGTAATATTAGAAGCTACCTTGATCATTTAAAAATGTAATATATTTTATGTTACACATTTTAAATTTATTTTATGTAGTATAGTTACGTTCTGATGGCCACGGGGGACAGATTTTACAAAATCCAATTTTAAAACCATTATAAGTACCTTTAAAAATTAAATATCATATTTTGTTACAAGCTATTTCTTAATTTATTGAATCAATTCCGATTATATTATGGCGTTTGATATTAAAAATTCGATTATTGCGATAAACTATAAACTTCCATATAATGAAATAACAACAACAATGAAAAGTATAAATTTACTTTCTGTTTTTAAAAATCGACTAATGGTGTTTTAAATTTTGGCAAAACTTTGCAATTATCTACGGATGCGATTGTTAGCATAAAGTTTTCTGGTCATATCGCTGAAGATCTCGAAGAGTTATTGTTACTGATTCGGCGGTCTTAAGTTTATTATGAGAATTAATAAAGATAAATAAAAATTAATCCATTCCCAACTCGTATTGGACCCCGTAGATAATTTCCAGTTGAAGATTCGCGATATATATATTTACAGCTTTAAATTTTAAATTAATATTGTTTCGTATACTCGTATATACCTATCCACATATATATTTATATATATATATATATTCTAACGCTATTCATTGCTGTGATTGCCGTCCCTCACTTACATGACCTATCCGTATTCTTTATTTAGTTGAATTCTTTTTCATTCGCTTTGGCGTTTCTAAATGTTATTACCTTTCGCATCACGTACGAACAGATATTGCGAGTGTACAATCGTAACGATAAAAATAGAATTCCCCGTTGAAATATTTCCCCTTTTATTTTGACTTGCAGAATGATTGAGCGAGGAGATATATTCATAAGATTGTACACTTTTTACGATTCGAAATTACTTTTATTTCAAATGCCTTCCTTGTATCTTTGCAGTCTTTCTCAGTTGTTTTTATGAACTTTAAACATTTATATAGTGCAAACGCCATTTCTTTGGTTTTAAAATGTTGATCGTCGATGTACCAATATTGATATTATAACTCATCTTTGAATAGTGTATATTCAAAAACGAATTCTTGTCCAGATCACAAACATTGCGTGGTGATATTGACTTTAGACGAACTTATCATATTTTGTAAAAATATTCTTTGAATTGTACGTAATATAAATGTAACTTTGTAATATAATTATGTACTACAAACACCAAAAAGAAAATATAAAAGAAAAATGTTCGGTTTTACTTTCGTACAAATCAACCGAGCATAATACAATATGCCTATAATATGTATTCGTCAATCATATACACGTTAAATCAAAAACACGTACAAAATTATTACATTTAATATTTCCATAAAATGTCATCAAAAACGCTTTTTTTTTTTTTCTTTATAAAAACCAAAACGTCTACCACGAACTATATGCGGTATAATACATAAAATATTTAGTACGGTATTATAAAATAACTTCTTACGCGATGAATATTTTAGTTTTTAAATTAACCTAACTTAACCCGTAAGTTTAGATAGAAAAAAATTGGAATTATACGTAGTAGGTACCTGCATATTGTAGCCGACGCCAATCATAACATTACAAATACAACAATGTATACACATTGTGTATAACGAAACCTTTTTAAAACGAATTCGTGTTCAATACGGGAAACAAAATTTTACTATGGACATTGTGGGCGGGTGCTATTTCTTATTTATATCACAATATATTGGCTATATTATTTCATAGATAAACCAATAAACTTTTGAAACACGGAAAATTTCTTTATCACCCGAGAGGTTCAGTTTTTTAACGTATATTTATTAAGTAAATGGGTTCTAAAATAAATACATATATCTACAATTAAACGTATTTAAATCATAATTTCATTTGACGGGGTGCACTGTGGAATACAATAACTGCAATAATAAAAATGGCTAACGTCTTATCGATTGCGAATCACTCGTTATTTATAACGTTCGATAGCAGTATGAATTATAAAAAGGAGAATACATTTTTGATTAAAATAAACAGGTAAATGCCATGTTTAAAATTATGTGCTTTTTTTAATACTAAAAAAGATCGATAGATGATCAGTCAATTTTTTTCGTAGTTTGTAAAATTATTCTTGATCATGATCATAACATTACTACTACGGTGTATATGAAAATAAATCATTGACTATATAATATTAGATAGACCATAATATAACACGTCACAATTTAAATACTTATTGTAATTATATATGGTTATTTATAATAATGCATATGTTACACACATTAAAGTAATGAGTTAATTAATGTAAATCGGATCAATGTACTTTTTTCCGTGAAAATTTCAACTTAAGTGTTTCACTGAAAACATTTAACTGAGCAAACCCTCACTTTGTATATCCAAAAATAAGTACATTTACACGGTACAAAGGAGGAAATCTTTTTTTTTTTTACTTTTTTGTACGAGTGGTATAACTTGTAAGCTAGCATAATTACTCTATTACCACGTTACAGTAATTTCTTCTAAAACAAGTGTCCTAAAATAATGTCTCATATTATAAAACAGCACGGATTGTTGTGCCAGCAGTATTATGTTTCCCTTTTCTCGCTATTCTATGGTACAAATTGAAAATAGTAAGTTAGTATAATTTTCAAATGAGTAGTAATTTTAATGATCACATTTTCAATTACATACCATAAAATTATATTTAGTAACATTGTACTACATAATGTTTATGTACAATCACTATGCCAATTATAATGATATTGATTAGTGAATTCTACTTTTCATTTGTATGTAAATACGCGTTTTACATAATTTCGCAGTAATATACGTATAATACGTATAATACAAATATCCCAAAATTAGTGTTAAAAATAACATTTTAAAAAATTATTTTTTTCGTACTAATTTCTCAAAAAAAGTTGTTATTTATCGTAAATATGACATTATAGTATGTCAATTGATTAATGGAATAACGCATAGTTCTATAAACCAGAAGATTAATAGTTATTTTTTAATTATATTTAGACCCGTGGGTGTATAATTATCGTTAATAAACCACTTGCATGATGGTATCATGTTCAACAAAGGTTCCTTTAAGACTTTCATTAGGCTTGACAAACCAAGAAGTTGGTGGTTCATTTAAATTGTTGTAATTTTTTCAAAAAAAAAGATAATAATTATCCTCAGTTGTACAATACGCATATCATTTAATGCAGCATCATCATAATATGGTCGTGATCATTTGAGTGTGAGCAATCAATAAATGTATAGTAAATAAATAACAAACTTAACAAATTCCTAATTAAAAATAAACAAATCACAATACAAATTACTCGTGTATAACACATGTGAAAACGTAAGAATAGATACTTGGTGTAAAGTTTTCGGGTTAAGATTAATGCATTGTTTAAATTATTGTTTAATACATTCATTGAACTTAAATAATGATTTTGTTTTAGATGCTACCTAATTGGGATGGTACAACCAGTGGTTCGATATCTGTGAAGTTTCGGACCAACGAGCCAGATGGGCTTCTATTTTTCAGCCGAGGTCAAACTGAACATACGGTGAGTAAATAAAATTAACCATCATTGTTTAATGTTATACATAAAAATGTTTTCTGGTGAAATTAGCCGGTGAAAACTTTTCTTAATGAAAGAAATATGTTAATAGATTTAATAAAATTGTGAATAAACGTATTTTCATCAAATCGAAACACATTAATTATTTTATACTTCGGTGTAAAAAAAACAATATTTTTTTAATTGGGTCATATAAAAAAAAAAAAAAAAATCAGGGAGTAGTTGCACTGCATACAGACGCATTAGTACATGTATATGTATTGTTTTACCCACACACAGGAGTGTAAACTTCGATTGGTTTAGCGCATTAATATCTTAGGATTCGTTACTGGGTACGAGAAGATGGGTGATTTTCTTTAATTTGTCGATATCTTTGAAAGTGCGCAGCACATGTATTCTGTCAATCGCATTCGCATCACTTTCATCGCCATGTGGCGAACGTGCTCGAGCTTGAGTTCACAGCGGCGATCGGTACGACGGATCTCGCAATGATGCCGTCGATCGTAAATGCATGTGGTTCGCTCAGGTAAACGGATGGGAAAACGTTAAAAAAAAAATCAATTAAAATAAACGGTATTTACGAAGCAAATAGAATATTTTATTAACACGTAGTTACTACCTATAATAAACTAGATTTTGTTAAAATGTTACCTTTTTATTTTTGGTATCATGATTTTTCTATTCAAATACCCCAAAACTCTAACTAATTTTCATAATAATAATATGCCTACCTACGTGATTTTTATTCTTTTATTTTTCGTCTGGACGTGGAAAAAATTTTGAAGTAGAAACAAAGGACTCATCAAAATATCTTGTTTATTTTATTTTTAATTCAACTTATTATTTAACTAAATTTCTCTTATTTTCCTTAAATAGAAACAGTAAATGTCTATTTTTATTTCAAAATAAAAAGTGGATACACTTTAAATGCTGATTTAAAAAAAAACTTAACAAAACATTTTTTATTTTACGCACTGCTTTTGATATCCTTTTTTATGTAAACAGTATATACCAGCGGTTCCCAAACTTTAACAATCACGGTATCCTTAAAAAACAGTTTGTGTTTCACGGAACCCTAATGTCTTTAATTCCAATTCAACTCTAATTTTTCTAAAAAAAAAAAAAAAAAGAAAATCAATATTCTAAAAATTTAAAAATGTTTTTAATGATACTGTTAATATTGTTAATTGAAATTAATTTAAAACACATTTTTTTTTAATAATATAAAATTAATATTTTTTCCAGATATCAAATAAAATAAGTTTCTCAATAATCACATACATCATAACACCTTAACATTGTCCCGCGGAACCCTAAGATTCCGCAGAACACACTTTGGGAAACGCTAGTATATACTATAATATTATTGAACTTAAATAGTCTTATAAAACGTGTGACCTAAAATACATTTTAGATAAAAAAAAAATAATATTTCATCAACCAATATTATTTTTAAATTCAATTATTCATTTAAAAATCAAAAAAATAGTTTAAATGAGAAAATTAATAAGTTCCTTGATTTTGCCTCTGCACAATCAATTATAAAGTATAATACATTTTCTTTATTGTTTCGCAAATGCTGAAACTGTCACAATAACTATAATCGTAAACGTCCAATGGCGTATAGAATTGTAACTTAATTATAAATGTGTATATCATAATATATAACATGTTTTTAAGCATTTTAAGTTTTATCCACATGGATAATAATACTTTTAAACCATAAACATAATTTTCCGGAATTTCACGAGTGTGTACTTGTATGACTTGAAATTATATAAGTACAATGGATTTAAAAATAATTATACAAAGACTAAATTCACCATTACCTTTGTTGAAATCATAATAATTTCAAACATACGAAAGTATAACAAACTTACATCAATGGTTGGATTTATTCCTTGCTTCTGTATATTGTAGCCAAATATTCAGAATGTAATAACTTTTACAACACGCAATTATAAGAAATGGTTTTTTAATCAAAGTTCGAGTTATCGTCATTAACTATTATAATTATCAGGTTGAATTACTGTTTGATAAATTTGCAACTATGCTCATTATATAAATATTAAGTTAATACTAAATGGTATGTACAAATTAATAATATAATTAATTATGTTTACTTTTGATACTCATTAGTTGATTACCAAAAGGATTACGCAAAATTATTTATGTGTATGTATAGAACGCCAACATAATTATAATTAATTTTTTGCCATAATACTATTAGTTTTCTTTATCTTTATTTCACATTAATTGCGCATTAATTAATCGCACTATCTTCAATATAGAACCATATTACACAAATTCGAAAGCACTGATTTTTCTTATTTATTTGATATTTGAACAACATTCATTTCATAAACATTTAAATTTATTCAACTTAAAATTATTTTTAAAATTTGATTTTTTTTTTTTTTTTAAATAATAATAACACAAATATTATAGAATACGGCCTTATTTTTTGGTGAAAGGAACGATCTACCATTCCTTTAATAAATGTGTAGGGTCTCTTTTTATTTTGTGACTGAAAGGTTTATAAATTGAATAAGAGAAGATGAAAAAAATCATTTGCAATCCGGTCTCGAGAATATTCTGTCTGAAGTTGACAGTACTTATTTCATCTAAAATAATTTTTTTAAATCAACATACTAGAATCAAAATTCATACTTGTGAATGAATAATTTAAAATGTATAAATAAAATAAATATGAAACGTATGCATTCTTTAATCAGCAGTAATTTATAAACACATATGAATGATAATTATGATTAAATTTAGTATTTGTTTATAAGAAATGTATTTTGTTTCACTCATTTAGGTAAATACAATTCTTTGAATAAATATAGAACATAATTATTACTCAAAATTATTTTATTTTTATGGCAAGTAGCATTGCCAGTAAAAGAATAGTGTGCAATTGTAATAATGCTATATATTAATTTTTCATCTCAAATAATTACGTTTTTAATTAATTTTCTGAGTATATGATATCCAAGTATTGTTTGAAAACGTTTGATATAAACCAAATCAAAAAAACAAATTTTCATTGTTTTCGAATACGTTTTACCATTCAAGTTCGTATTATTTGAAAACTATTTTTATACATTTTTATATTCAGTACGAATGCCAATTTTTTACTATTTTTTTTTTTTTTTTTTACTTAAACGTTATGATAAAGTTTAACGATGCGCGTTTTGTCCGATGTTAGTTTTCTGCTGTCGTTTCCGAAAAGTTGGTTTGGGTCAATAGCATGGATGACGGAAGCGGCTCAACAATACATTTTAACAGCAGATTGCCTCGTGGCGATTGATTACACCGTAATTTATTTTCAGAGTGGAATTTATGCCGTTGAAATGATCGACGGACGGCTGTACGTATATTTGGATTTGGGTGCTGGTGGCACTCGGACCGAAGTCAGTTCGGAGAAAGCCAAAGTCAATGATGGTCAATGGCACGAATTTTCGATATGGCGCAACGACAGAGACATACACTGCACTGTAGACGATTACTCGTCAGATTTTACGACAAACGGTAAATGTGTAATAATAATCTGTACATCATAAATTGTATAATATTTATAATATTGTACCATTACAATCGTTCCAATCAATAGCTTTAAGAGTCATAACAATCTGGTACCTAACAAATCAAAATCTTCATAAAAACCTCCAACTACCAACTGTGAGAGAGCAATAAATAGCAATAAATCACTACAAAAAATTCTATAATGTACGAAAATATATACCCTAATCCAGAGGTGGCCAACTTTTAAAGATTTGTGATCGACTTTTGAGTTTTTCTAGGTTTTCACAATCGACCACAAAAAAAAAAAAAAAAAGGTTATAACTGAGCAAAAATATGTTTTATGTACCATGCATGTTACTCTTCTTTTAATAATTTTAATCTTACAATTTATACACGTATTTTAATATATATTTTATTAATTTATACGAACTAATAAATAATGTTATTCAATACGGAATAAACATTAGATTGTGTACAATTGTTATTATTTTAATTTTATATTTGAGGGTAGAAAAAAGATATAAAAATGTACAAAAAATAAATAAATATTTTAATTGTTTTCTGATAGAATTAAAAAATAATGAAAGGGAGCCGCGACCGACTCGAACTCATGTCACGATCGACCAGTCGATCCTAATCGACCTGTTGACCACCCCTGCCTAAAACCATTAATTCTTCAAATTTTCTCCATAAAAAATTCCAAACAATATAACCCGTCAACTATACAGGGATTCAAACCTATTAGATCCTGTACTATTGTAATACTGCAGGTCAGTCAAAAAAAAAAAAAAAACTGTATAAATAAAAATATTAATATTATAGGTGGACCACCTCCTATTCAGGCTTTCACATGTCATTGTTGTTTTTTATCTTTTAAAATTGTTTATTGTGTAGCGCTACCACAGATTGTAATTTACTTTTAATCAATAAAAAATAAAAAACCATTTTGGCGTGAAAAAAAATAGATTGAATTTATTCATATGTTTAATAATTAATATAATTATTATATTTTTCATAAAACCTTATTACAAATAATTTCGTGTTTTTTATGACACGGTTTCTTAGTTAATATTTACTGAATGAAAAAACGTTCTTTAGATTATTCAAAATAAACGGTTCAAACATTTTCAATGCGAAAAACGTGAATAACATTTCACTTCTGAACTCGTAGTAATTAGGTGCACCAAAAACCGACAAATTGTGTTAAGCGACCGATTTTGATACGATTACTATTGACATTCCTTCAGTATAGGCCAAACGTGTACAAAATGTTTCTAAAATGTTTGATTACGTTTCCAGGTGATTCCAATCAGTTACACTTGCAAAACGGTATCATGTTGGGGTTCGGTGGTCGAGCGGTGTACCACAAAAAGATACCGACGGGCGTGTGGACGCTATCATTGGAAACGGGATTCGTGGGGTGCGTGCGTGACCTCGTCCTGGACGGCGTGGCGATAAATTTAGTCAGTTTGTCTCTGGAACAAGACCACGGTACAGTTTAATGAGCCGTATAACGGTCAATTATTAACTTCTGGCTGGGCGAACAAAAATAATACGACAGCTGGACGGGACCGGAAACCGCCAGTTGTCGAGCGCAAAGCAGCAATAACGAGCGCGTACCTTAATAAAATTATTTACGTGTAGACAAGGAAGTCAGCGTGGTACGCGGATAATGACTGCGAAAACGCACTGTTGAACAAATCATAAAATGACGTCGAAATCGTAGGACTTCTAATTAATAGCGTCTCGCGCGAAACCCTTGACGCGATGTAATAACACTGTTGTGTTGAACGAATTCAGATTTGACGATTCGTGTTGCTGAAAAGGGTCTTCTAGCGGACGAGTGATTCATTCGAGATTTAACGTGTAGACTATTTGTTATTATTCGATGTACGAATATAATAACGTTCAATTTTAGCGGACGGGCAGGGTGAACAGCACAATGTTTGGCGTTTACCTGTTAAAAAGTTAAGCCTCGTTTACATTGAATGAGTTTACAAACTGCTAGTTGGTGAATTCATTATCCAAGTGTAATCATGTTCACCAGCCAACTAGTAGATTGTAAACTATCGGCGAGTAAAAATTTGAAAGCAGCGGCCTACATGCTTGCTTGCGTTTGGGATTGCAAGCTAGTAAACAAGTCGTCCTCATAATTGCTAGTGAACTAGCTACGAGTAACAGTAAAAATCACGTGGATTTCAATCACTAGCTAGTTGGTTACTGAGGGGGTAGAACTTTTTTCGTGTAATCATTACTATCGCACTAACCGACTAGTCCGCTTTTAAAACAGCTAACTAGCAGCTTGTAAACTCGCTCAATATATACGAGACGTCGAAAATAAACAGTCGTTTCCGTCCAATGTTTATAGATTATTATACTCGTACATAACAAATTTTTTGCGTTATCACCAGAGTCCAGATTAGATATTTAAAAAAAAAATTCGATATTTTTATTTGTATAATGTATTAATTGATTATTGATGAAAAAAATTCAACGATTAATGAAAATCCAAAGTTTGGATTTTGTCAATTGCTCGTTTATAAATATATTCTTGTCCGTGTGAAAATCGTGACCTAGATAATAGTATCTATGATAAAAACGCGTATTGCTGTTCGTCCGACACATTGGTTTTGTAATCATCTTGTAGCAATCACATGCGAATAAATCATATTATTAAGAATGTGTTTTTTTTTTTTTTATTCTAGTGTCAATAACACCGCATTGTCCCGAATACACTAACAGTTGCAACTCGAACACTTGTTACAACGGAGGGGTTTGTCATGAAGGTTGGAATCGTGTTATATGTGACTGTTCGAATACAGAGTATGTGGGCGCCACTTGCACGAGAGGTACTTAACGTCATTATTTATATACTATCAACATAGCTTCTCAATACACATAAACATTAAGTACCTAACGTACGGCGTGCACACACGGTAAGAGTCCTTGGGCCAACCGTTGATGATAAAGTTTTTCAATCAAACGTTTCACCCGAATGCATTATTTATTTTGGAAACGTCCTAATATAAACGTTTATATAAACCTTAAGTTACAATTGTATGTTACACCTGCGTATCGGGCGATTTATAGAAAACAATGTTAGTGGTTTCCAAATTGGTGAACGCTGAACGATTTCGTTTTGATTTTCTATTAAACAATTGCTCTAACTTTTAAATGGTTTTCAATGTATTTCAATCCGGTGCACTACTAAACACTGTGCACAATACATCACGTCTTGATCGATTCGAATGGGTTATATTTTACTTACAGAAGAAATTAATTTTTACTTATTATTTCGAATACTCTCTTATGATTGAAACGTAAATAGTTTAAATACTCCGGGCTAGAGACTGGAAAGGAACCGTAAAAACCGGTTCTGGAATTGAAACCTTAGCCAAATTATGGAACTTATTATTCAAATTTTAAAGAACCCAAACAGGAACCGGAACTTCGATCAAAAATGTTTTTTAACTTTAAGTTCTAAAAGACTATTTTAGCTGTATACCATAAGAAGCAAAAACAACCTTTTACATTTATGTTTAATGCATTGCACGTTTAAAAAAAAAAATTGTATACATTTTATAAATTAATATGAACATGATGCATTAATATAAATTAAAAGAATCTAGATCAATTAATGGGGGATAGTAAACTCCTACAAAAGTAGGTAATCTCCTATATGGACATATTGTTAATTCTTACACCATATAGTGTTAACTCCAATACTAAGGCTACATAAATCTTAATTACACTAAAATTTGATTATAACACATTTTTTTTTTAAATTATTCAAACAAAAAAAAATCAGCCTAATTTTTATGAAAATAAGAAAAAGCTCAATTACTATAGTAAGTATAAATAAATCACATTTTTTTTTTCTTGCAAAAAAAATTTAAATTGACTTAATATTAAAAGCTTTTTACCATTTCGACTGTAGGTACATAAAATCCATTGTAATTATTATTATATTATCATTTTACAAAAATACAACTGATTCGAACTTTTTTTATTTTCGTTTTTTTGTACGTTATCATATGTTCCAGAATCTTCGATACGATCCAAAAAAAATATACATATAATACGTCAAAATCCTAGGTGGTTGTGCAAATATAAATTTGTACTACAGTACACAAAATGTTTATTATAAATACACAGTAATGTATATAATAAACAATGAAACCGATCAAAATAACATTATGAGATATGAGTATAATGCACATTACACCAGCTCAATAATGATATAGCGTCATATTATGTAACAAACTATTTTTAAGTATTTGGCGTTTATGTCATGTAACATTAACCACTATCTGAAAAAGGTTTACGTAGGAGTTTTCACCATATTTTATTGACAGATCAAAAAATCATTGGTGTAGGAGTTAACATGCAGCCCAATTAATAGTGAATATTAACAGTTTATTTGATAAAATTAGTTCTAAATATACTACAAAAATGTAGTGAATAAAAAAACTAATTATCTCTTTTTATATAAATATTACCTATGCATTAATATAATACATTTTATTTTGCTAGTATAATTTAAACACACAATAATATTTTTTAAATTATGTTATACAACTAATAATATATCATTATATTATTATACAACTACGAACAATTTTATAATTTTATGATTCATATGATTACCTAGATTTTTTTTTATTGATATTTAAACTGCAGTAACATTTATGGAATTTGTTTTAAAATATAAGACCAATATTGAAATATATTACATTGATTTTGTAATATTTTAATATAATTAAGATTTTTTTTTAGTAGAAAAATTTAATGTTCCGTGTAAAAATCCATGTTAAATACTTTAGAACTGGTTGAAACCTTTATCAACCGGAACCGAAACCGAAATGTTTTTACTGTATTTTTAAATATCGTAACCTAAACCGAAACCGAGATTTTTTATTTTAAAGAACCTAAATTGAAACCGAAATCTTTAAAATCGTAAGGGTTTCAGTCTCTGCTTCAAGCACAAATATCTGCTTATGTATTTGTAACATATTCTATAGTAATAAAGTTTACCTTTTGATATTTTTGCAGAGTCGTCAATGTACAGTTTCAACGGGACACAATATGTACAAGCAATAATGCCGGAAAAAATGATCACTGAAGTTGAGGAAATGTACTTCAGATTTAAAACTAATAGGCCACTAGCCGTACTAATGAAAACATTCGACAGTTCATGGGATCGACTAGAAATTGCATTAATCATTGGACGAATTAGATTAGCCTTGAAAATTGGTGACAAAGAAAAGGTATAGTAATATAAAAATTGATTTTTAAGGTGTTTCCATTTCATATCATATTCATATTCTACATCTATTGGTTAAGAATATTGCCGTTGAAAAAATATTTAAGTAACTTTATTTTTATATCAATAAAAAAAAAATGTAAGTGCTAACAAAAACATAAAATAAAAGAAATATAATTGAAAAAAATTTATTAATGCATTAGATAGTGACGATTTCGTAGAAATTTCACGTTTGAACTGAAAAATATTTTTCATTTTTTTTTTTTTTTTTTTAGGTGGTTTTGTGCGGATCTCATTTGGATGATAACAACTGGCATTCGATTCATTATATAAGACGGGCGCATGAAATCCGTCTGAAAGTAGACAACGTTACAGTAAAAAGTAATAGCTTTTATTCAACGTATACCAAAACACTTTTGATATTTGTTTACATTATTTTATGTTATTTCAGATGATTCTGATATGGAAAACAATATCGCTCTCAGATGGCAAGGTCTTTTAATCGGTGGATCACCTCCTAAGGATTCAGAAGCCATGGTAAATCTTCCCAGCTTTATCGGAAGCATCCAACAGTTCGTATTAAATAAAATAAACTTTTTCGATCTCGCCAAAATCTCAACTCGAGGCTGTAAGTATATCGGCGTATTCGCTGACGATTTAAATACAATATTTTTATCAATATCGATAATATACTAATGTTGTAACTTGCAGTCTCCGAGGATTTACCAAAAGTTCACATGACTTGCAAATATCAAAAACAAGAAAAACCCCCTTCACTGGTACACACGGTTACGTTCCTATCGAAAAATACTTTCGTCGGACTTCCAACATTAAAATCTTACTCAAGAATGGAAGTGTACTTCCGGTTCAAGACCAAGCACACATCCGGTCTGTTCTTCTACAACGGCGGCAAGCACAATGACTTTGTACTCTCCGAATTGATCAACGGGCACGTACTCATCAACATTCGGTCGGGCACTCACGTGATCCGTCTTCGGGACATATCGAAGAACAGTTATAATGATAATTATTGGCATTCGGTTCACTTACTACAAATATCGGCCACTTTGTTTTGTCTTCTCATCGACGATCAAGTGGCATCGACTATGTCTATGTCTAGACCACATAATATACAACTGAATGGAATGTTCTATGTCGGTGAGTCCGGCTGATTTGCTTTCATTTTTATTTTGACAAAATGTAAATCTTTTAATTTGAATTGATAGGCTTAAAATAAATTAATATATTCGTTAATAATAACATACATCGGTTTATATTTTATTTAAGACAGTTATGATATACATTTCTAAATATTAGGCAAACTCTTATCTTCTGTGCAATTTTTTAAAATACAATCGTATTTTTTACTATGGTAATATATGAAACCTATTTTAGAAGCTATGAGAAAAATAAAAAATAAATCATTGTAAAATTAACGATCTCCTTATTCGATTTATATATTCAATGCCTTAAAAATTACATGTAAACTTTCAAAATTGTATATTATTTATTCGGCATGGTATGAACTTTAGAACACCAAGATAAATGATTAAATAGAAATTTGTAGTAGAATCTCGAATTTTTTGTACAGTCAATATTTTGTGTTCATCTTTCAACAATTATTTTCTAATCAACATTTCAAAATTTAATAATTTTAATAATTAAATTAATACGAGTATATGATAAATTATTATGACATCAAATCATATTAGTCAATATTTTTTATACTATATTTCATAAACATTCAATTACGATGCGTATTTTTTTATCTCAATATTGTTGAAGTGTAACAACAGCAGACAATATAGATTTCAATAAAATAAAACGTATAACGGCACGTTATGATGATTGTGCAGGTGGTGTGCCAAAAGAATTACACAAACGACAATCGAAGCACATCCACTCGAGACATGGATTCGAGGGTTGCATGTCTGGATTGGAGTACAATGGCGAATCACCGGACATGGTGGAGAACGCCACGATACCCAGCACGCTCATCACGGTGGGCTGTGATGGTGAGGAAACACTTTTGGGATAAATGACTTTTTTTTTCTCTCTCAGAAATTGATTATTAACAAAAAATGTACCAGCTACTCAACAAGGGGTGGTTTTGATATTATGGTAATTGCAGGACACAGGTTAAAAAAAACATTGCGATTTCACATCGGATATACTGGAAACTGTGTAACAATAAGATTAAAAACCAAAATAGCCCTGCTCGACTTCTGTTTAGTTAAGCTTCTAAATAAACTTGACTTGTAATTTGCAAAAATACATCTGTTCTTTGTGGAAAATACAATTAATAATTACAATCCTTTTAGCACTGTGTACAAAAAAATGTATTTTGTAAGAAAACAATAATGTAATATACTGCAATATCAGAACAGGCAATCTGGAAAAGTACTGAAAATGACGCTTTGCCCAGTTGGACTTTATTTCAGCTGTTTAAGAAGATTATTGTGGGGAGTGGGTGTAATAAAATGTGTCCTATAAAATTCGACCAATTGAAATTAGAATTTTCTTACCAAACCTTCACTTGAAAATTAAATATTATATTTCTGGTGTAAATTTTCCGTTTTCAACATAGTCATAGTACTCGTAGTATAAAAAAGAATAATTATAATAGAAACATTCGTGATTCGAATCTTTGTTCCGGTCCTGGTACTTCAGCACCAACGTGAAACGCCTCTTTCAACGAGAACTTATAATGTATTATAATAGGAAATGAAAAAAAAAACCATCTTTATGTAGACGAAGGAAGGCGTTGTAATAAACATAATATAAAACGCAGTTCTTTTTCCATATGTTTTATTTTTTTGGAAGTTTTTTAATAATAATAATAATAAATATATTATTTTAGCAGTTTAAAATGCTATCATTAATATTTACATGATATTGTTACTTTTTTTAAACTGTATCGTCTATCATTAAGGATGATTACTTGTTTTGATAGACAAGAGTCTCAAAAATAAAAATAAATAATAAATATACAAAATATAAATTATCTATGTATATAAAATATATTTATAAACAATGTGTATAAATTAATTAAGTAAATCCTTAATATAACTATATTATCACTAAATTTATCATATTATCTTTCATCATTTTTATTATAAAAAACTTACTAACACACTATTAATTACTATTATGTATAGTTATAATAAGAATTTACTTTAGTTACTTATTAAATATTATATCTCTACTCCACCACCAATAAAAACTGCAGCTGCAGCACATTCATTTTAATTTAATAATGTATTAATCATACCCTACACAATTGTTTGTTTTTATATATATCCTGTATTGTTGCTACTCCGTAGGACTCAGCAAGATGTGCACACAGGACATGTGCGACAACCACGGAACGTGCGTGGAACAATGGAATTCGTATTCGTGTGACTGTGACATGACTGCATATGTCGGCCCGACGTGCTCTGAACGTGAGTCAAAAATATCATCTCGCATTAACCAATCACGCTTTCGGTTCAACAGAGTCTTCCATAAAATCAGAAAAATTTCAAGTAACTCTCGCAGAAGTAAAAAAAAAAAAAAAAAAAATTGGAAATAGAATGTTCGTTTTAATTACCAGTCCAAAAGTTGAAAAATAAATATATTTCATGTCTTAATCTATCAATGTCCGTAAGATACAGAATCTGTTCATATATACGTATAAATTTCTGAAAATAAATGAGTCTCTTCTCGGGCAATGAGAAGTCAACATAACCGCAGGATTGCCAGTGATCTTTACCACGATTATTTTTACTAAACCGTTGCCACAATCGGTGGTCAGATGGCTTCAGCTCCTGCACTAATCGGATTTTGGAAGTAAGTCGGAAAGAACTACGCGCGGTGTCAGTGTTCAATTTTTGCAGAAATGTATACATAGACGAGCGGACGCCATCTTGCGGACAGTAATCTTAAGACATGATCAGATGAACTCTTAATGACACATAATGAAGATTCTGTTTTCAATAGGAAAATATCGTGAACAAACATTTGACTTGCTTTTGCGAGAGTTTTCCTGAGTTTTGTCAATTTACCTTGAGACTCTGTAATAGTAAACGAAAACCGTTTATAACTAATTCGGAGTGCGCACTAGCACTCGGCCATTTTTTTGTCATGAGTCGCGCAGTTTTGATCTTTTTCCCCCTCTTTCGATCCTCAGATTTGTGTTTTGTACATCTCACGCGTTCCCTGTACTATAAACATTTGAAAAACATGCACCACACGCTCGTACACAAGCAGAGAATCGATTATTGCAACCGGGAAGATTATGCAATGGCACGATAGTATAATGTATTTCATTTACGTGACACGATACGATGTAATAGATCAACATCAGAGGCGCATCGAGTGGCGTTCGACCGCGAATAATTATTATTTCTATCGGCACTGAAACGGTGTAACACCACGGTCCAATTTCGGTAACTGTTTGTTGGTTGGGAGGCGAGAGTCTTTTTTTCGCGGGAGCGAATAATAATGATTCGGTTTCCTTCGTTACTTGGCGCGCTGCGTACCTTACGCGCACGACGCGCATCGCACGCCGGCCACACACAACGCCGCGTTTGACGCGGGAGCAAGAGGGGCACATTTTTTGATGTTTGATGGGGCGGAAAATTGTTGAAGATCAACATAAAATAAATAAAAAACAATTAAACCTTTTCTTGTATGACTGTATGTCAATAATTTTGTTCATAAATACCTCGAAAAAGCCGCAGTCTACCGCTACATATCACAAGGCGATGAGAATTAAGAACTTGTACGGTGATCGTATAAATTATTTTCGTTATTCCTTTCCTTTTTTTTCCCCCGAAAATAGTCGAGTACATGTATATCGTAATATTTTTTCTGAGCGATCGGCACATTGAACCGTTAGATGTGTAAAACATCTTTTCGACGATTTTTTTTTTTTTTTAAACATACTTTTTCTTAAGGGTGGCATGTTTTAATTTTCCCCGGGGCGGCAACATAGCTTAACGCATCGCTGGCCATACACCGGTCGTGCCGTTCGCATAGTGTGTATAAGTGTGCGCACACGTTTTTGTAGCTCAATCAGTAGCGGTAGTGGGATGCAACCACAAATACTGATGAGCTACACGGTGCTGCAGGTGTGCGTATGTGTGATGCATGCTTTATACTATGGACGAAAATTTCAACTCAACACATGGTAACTTAAATGGTATAAATTCGATGTAGAATTAGTACAACTATAACTATCGGCCCTTCTGGCCCGACAACAACAAATAACAATAAAAATACTCCATTTATTGTCTTGGCCTACAGATTAAAATATAATAAATATGAATATATGTGGTCCATTTGGCACAACAATAAATGAATAATAAATAAATCAAACGGAAACTCGCAATTTGTGGAGCGCAAAACTGGCGAGCCGCAACTACTTGTACTTAAATCTACGAATAAAATAAAAAAAGTTACTATTGACAAATAGCGCCCGCGAAACAACAATAATAAATAAAATGCGGCTATTGGCGTACGCGTAAATGTAATAGACATTAAAATATGTTAATACTGTGGCGATTAGCGCGCGCACATAACAACAAACAAAATATTAATCAATTTAAGACGATTAGCGCGATAAACAAAAACGACGAATAAAAAAAAAATAAATTATACACAAGCTAAGACGTTCATATTGTTTCACGTTGGTCTTGCCACAGCGACGTACGGAACGAGAAGGCGGCGGCCGTGCTGAAAAACGTAGACCGACGGGCCGTCGGCCACCGATAACGCGTCAGCTTAATCTGTGTGTTATAAAAAAACCCGCAACACGATTAATACAAAAATAAAACAGTGCAGTTCGTGCGTATGCGAATGTGGTCGACCGGTGACCGTGAATTCGGACATATCATGTAAATGAGGTGCTGCGCGTAGTTGTTGGGCGCGAATTGTCGTACTATCGGAAAACCATGTCGGTGGTCCGCGCGCGGAACTAAACTTTGTGTTTATTTCCCCGGCTGAACATGGAAAAACATTCACTCGATGCGCTTGTCAAACTTTCGTTCGACCAGTTCTTAAAAGTTCTAATCCCACCCCCGAGCAAAAATTATGAAGTCCTATTGGCACGTGAGCGTTTAAAACCGTTATCAATATTCGCAACATGTATCACAGCTGCACGTAGAAAAGTGAAGCAATTAAAAATACTGTGCCGTGTTGTCGTTTCAGCGTCCATTTCCTACGACTTCGGTCCCGACAGCGGTCTCATCACGTACGCGTTCCCGGACGGGCGCCAGCCGGACATGCAGAACGACTTGTTGGCGATGGGTTTCATCACGTCCAAGGACAACGGTATACTTTTCCGCGTGGAAAGCAGCACGTCCAGCGATTATTTACAACTCGAGATGGTAATAAAAAACACGCGTCGTCTAAAAATCTTTCGTGGATAAAATTAAATATTATAATAAAACATAATCTATAATATATTGTTATAACACGGTATGATGCTTTTTCGTTGGTTTCAAAAAAAAAAAAAACGTTTTCGAAAAAATACTATAACACAATATTGATTTTTCCTAAATCAAAACGTGTCCTGTCATTTATTTTGATTTACTTCACACAAACAATTATCATTGGTTTTAGATATTTCATTTATTTAGCATATAATCATTACAAAATCGACTTGATAGTTTTGTGTAGACCAAACGTTGATAACATTTTTCAATTTTTCAATATAATTATAAAACTAACGTAAAATATTTATTTATTTCATTATTTTCACAATATTAAGAAAAAATATATATTAGGTATTAGGTGTTAAAACATTAATTTAAGCCAAAAATAAAATAACTTTATCCACAATTGCTTCTATAATGATATAAAATCATAGGTACTCAACTTAAATTCAATGAAAATAATTTTTGAGTTGGTAATAAAAGCTATGAAAAAATAAATAAAAATATATTGCAATAACGCCCTAACCGGTAATCTATTCACCATAAAAGCTATTAATTCACAACCCTACAACCAGCGTTACAGACTTAAGTACAAAAAATAAATTTTATTATTCATAATGAAAATATATAAAAATATAAATATATATAATGGCTCATGTAATGTTATTCATTTGCATAATTATTCCGATATTGTAACAACTTAAAACATTTACCTGTTTTGAATTTATTGTGAAAAATAATTTATATTTTTTCTTCCGTTTTTCGATAAATTATGCGTATTATGCTTTCTCGGAAGTCACGTAAATTGTCATTTACCACATTACTGAAATAATATTTAGTGCATGTAAAATCCTAAGTCGGTTGTACTTTTAAAAAAATAACCAAAACCACATGTTTGCTTAGAAACAATAAAAAGTTTCATTTGAAAGCAATTGAGTGACTTTCGTAGTTTTAAAAGAATATCATACGAAATGTATCGTTTGGGTATCACGCAGCCTGTAAGGCGTTAACAAGACGTTTGGTAATTCATAACATAGTATACACATTATAAATTCCATAAAATTTTGTCGACAACAAATAAACTCAAATGGGATTTGAAAAACACGAATATCGAGTACTTCGTGCGCTGACACAAAATATTATTTTATTTTTTATTTTCTCTGTTTACTAAAAGGTGAACGGCCATATTGTAGTCATTTACAACGTCGGGACTAACGATCATCCCATTGGTGAAGCTAACATCAAAGTAAACGATAATTCTTATCATTTGATCAGATTCGTTCGGACGGGACCCAATTCAACATTACAGATTGATGACAATAGCATGCAGACTCTGTATCCATCAGGTACGTACTCCAACATACACTCTTCAAAGTTCACGTATGACCATAATGGTAGTAATACGTTCAAAATATTATACGTGTCACCGTATGCAGGACATCAACTAAGCGTATTCAATAGACAGTCGACGATCCAAGTAGGTGGCCGATGGAATAAGACAAAACAACAGATCGAAAATGCGTTCGAAGGAGTTATGGTGGGATTGGTATTCAATGGTCTTAGAGTATTCGACCTGACTACCAACAAAGATCCGAGGACCACTAGTAAAGGAGACGTGCAGCAGTTGTCATCGATATTGGACCGACTCAACGAACACTCGTTGCTAGACACCATGCAACAGGTAAATTTAATATTTTATCTATTTGCTTTAATATTTTTCATGTCAAAAGAAAATTAAAAATTAATCATAACTTATTTAATTATTTATGTATTCAAAATGGTTAGATTTTCATAGCAGAAACATAGTGCATCATGTCACTGATTGCACTTTCACGATTACACCGTGTTTCGCCATAACCCAATAACGATCAAAATATAACAATGTTATTAATACATAATACATTTTTTTTAAATATATTATAATTATACAGTTTATCGCATTTAATATAAACAGCTTGTGATTTAAGTGGTTAAATGTCGTCATAACATTATATATTGATCTTTAAATAATCCAATTTCAATTTCAAATTTTTAGACACCTGCATCGGGAGTTATGGACGATCTGGTTTATTCAGGAGCTGGATCTGGTTGTAATCATGATGATGAAGACCAGTGCACAGTTACATTTGATACTGGATCTGGTGAGTTGAAAAGTTTTAATGTATTAGGATCCTTAAATTGAAACACCCTGCCTTAATTTTCGAATTATGTGCCCAATTTTTTGGATATTTTAAATGTTTTAGAGTGTTTTCTGTACACTAATCTCATAAATTAATAATAAATTAAAGAAATTCCATTTTTTACAACACTATTATAATACTCGTAATATAAACATAAAAATTAAATGACGAAATGCTTTTAATGTTGAGCATATGTACAGTACGAAGTCTTCTAAAAATAAGTAAAATAATAAAAAAATAAAATATAAACTACTCAAATAATGTTTCGTTTCACATTATATATGTATTCATAATTAAGTAATAATATATAAATATATCTATAAATTTATAGTCATGAAAATTCATGACTTTATCTATCGTATGTTTAATTGAGTGAAATAAAATAAAACTATAAAATCGTTCACGATGGATTAGCAGATTGCTGTATGAGGTTTTCTTATGATATTTTTTCAATACATAATAATATTTATAGTAACATCAAAAAGTACCTATAAATACAGACAAACAAATATGAGTGTATTATGCATACGAGTACTGCATTAAATATTTTAAGTATACTGTATGATTTGTATAGTTAATACTCTACACACAAACCATCGTCATGTATAGTACGTAGTAGTGTAGTCATGTACGTTGAAATGTCAAATATTTTTTAACTCTATGAAACATTGGAGTCTATATAATTTTTTTTTTTTTTTTTTTAATTAATTAATGTACATAAAAAAAATAATTTACTTTTATGTGTCGAATTTTAAATATATTAAAACTTGTAATTGAATGTAACAAAAAATATTTGTTTATAACCATGTTAAGGAAATATATATTTTATTTTAAATAAGCAAGCATTTACGGGATAACATATATTATTCGATATTAGTTCGTCATAACAATGTACTGTTTCGATAGTACATAGTACAAATGTTTAACATTTTCAATTTGTTTTATCTACCGAAACAGTTCATCTTTTTTAAAAAAAAATTACTAAATAATTTTTATCTCTTTGATTTATTTTTTATAAAATAGGTGACGACTTGATAACACCAGTCTATGTGCCTCCAACCGTTGTACCTCCTCCTTCATTAATAACCGACATACCCGGTGCGTGCGATGATGAAGAATCAGATTGTATTACAGGTTCAGGATTTGGTCCTACAACTTCTACGGATGACTCAACAACTATTAAAAGTAAATAATTTATTTTATTAGGATTATCATATTTCTGATTCAAATCGATTGAAAATAATTCTTTGGGCAAAATTGTTTTTTGCAAATTTATTTGCACTACAGTTTTGATTTAGACAAGACGGCGTAATATGTAGGCAAAATAAAGGCATAACTGTAATAATGAACATTATCGCAGTATACGAATATGAACAGTATATGAAAATAACCATAATATAATATTTATATTAATTTAATTTCATTAATAAACAAAAAATATTTTAAAATTCAAGGTATATAAATTAGATTAATTTTAATATTTTATTCAGATACCATTCTAGCTAAAACGTTTCGTTCGAATATAAGTATATTTTTTAGTCTTATATTTACGATGCACCGAAAAGGGTCGTATAAAAAAATACAAGAGCGCATAGTGCAGTAAAAATTTTCATTAATATTTAGTCGCGGTTAATAATATAAAACAAGTACAAAAAATAAAATATTATTACATTTTAATATTGCGAATACATCGACTAATTAACTTTCTACAATTAAAAAATATTTAAATTGAAAACAATACAATTATTAATATTCTTATTTTATATAAAATAAGAAGTAATTATGAATAATAATTATTTATTATTCGTATAATTTTAAAACGTATCTTATTAATTACAATCATTAATTATCTTTTAATGATGCAATTCCAACAATGTTTGGATAGAACCTTAAAAATCTTATGATCAAATTAAAAACATTGGAGGAAATATTAATTTCATAAAATAAACCATTACGATTCATTTCGGTAAAAATAAATTGTAAAAATTATAATCGCTTACCGCGTTCGATGGTTTACAAATAAATAATCGTGCATTTCATAATATGAATAATTAGTTTCAATAACAAGAAATCAAATTAAAATAAAGGGCAAATTTCCTGTGGTATTATTTTTATCAAATCTAAACATTGTACAGAAACTAATCATTCTGGTGGTGTGAAATTTACGTTGAAAATCTTCTGAACTGCAGGCTCATTTTAATCTATAATATATTTTTAATCAAAGTATTTTTTTCATTTTAATACAAATATTATTATTCCATTATAAAAATGATAATAAAGTTTTTTTATTTCGCACCGTAGTTTGCCCTAGATAATAATTTAGCGGTATGAAACGTTTGATCGTTTTTCAGTTCGTAAAGCGATGAAACTACACTCTTTATCGAATGCGTTATTGTTATTCATTAATCCACCTATTGTACGCACTACGCGTTCCGAGTCCAGTCACTGCAAAACAAGTGGTCAGAGACGTCTGGTGCAACATGTCGCGTACTACTGTAGTTTAATGCAATATGCGTGTTTTGGTGTAATGAACTGCGTTTAGCTTACGGTTACAAAAATTTGTTGGGCACGTTAACGGTAACGTGAAAACCAAATAACACGTGAAAACGCGGTTGTCAAACATTACTGTTATTCAAATCGTATACGTAATCAGCAATCTGCGCGCGCATAAAACGGTCTTAATGTTTTTATCACATATCTAATATGGTAACCGCGTCGTAATAAACCCCGTCACAGCATTGATAATAATTTAAAAAAGTGATCGGTAAATCGGTAACCCGATTTCTAAACGTATTCACGAAAACGATACTATCGATAGATCCGTCAAAACACGTCTACCACACATACATCATATACGTTAAAATGATTACCAACACTGTCAACGATTCACTGCGCAGTCGGCGTTCTCGTCGCGAAACGTGCGAAACGTGTACATGACCGTTGTTCCGTTTTACAGGTTCGCACCCGGCGGTGACCACGTTCAACAGTGCGGCGGCGGCGGCGGCGGCGAACAGGACGACCGCGTCCGTGGACCGGACGACCGCCGGACAACAGGCGGCCAACCGGTCGAGGTCCGCGTCCAGCACGGCCAACCCGGCCACCGTGCCGTCGTACTGGTCGTCGACCCCGAAGACGGCCACGCACTCGCGGGTGCCGGCCACCTCGACCTCGGTCGCCGTGGTCGTCACGACTGGCGGTCCGTGGTCCGGCGGCGGCGGTACCGGTTCCACGGACGGAGACGTCACCAGCACCGACGGCGGCGGCACCACCAGCAGCACCGCCAGCAGCAGCACGACAAGCACGACGACCGCGGCCGCGCCACCGACCTACTACGGCGGCACCAAGGACACGGACACCAAACCCGGGTTCGGCAGCGGCGGCACGCGGTACGGCGGCGGCAACGACGAGCGCGACGGCGAGACAATGGTGACCACGTCGGACGTGCTGTTCGGCGTGGACAACCAGTTCCCGCCCGCGGCCGTACCGACGCCGCCCAAGCACGCGGAGCCGCCGATCAACACGAAGGCGGCCGAGAGCACGGCGTTCGTGGTGCTGGTCACCGCGGCCACGCTCATCATCATCGTGCTCATCATACTGCTCGTGCTCAAGGTCAAGTACAGGACGGACACGAACCGGTACAAGATCGAGATGCCCAAAGCGTACGGGACGCCGGTGGAACCGGGCTCGGACAGGGGCGGCCTGTGCCAGCAGCAGCAGAACTCGGGGCTGCTGTCGCCGGGCAACTACCCTCCGTCCGGGCAACCGTCGCCCACGTACGTGCAGAACAACTTCAGACCGCACGGGCCGGGCGTCAGCAACAAGCAGCCCAAAAAGAGACAGGACGTCAAGGAGTGGTACGTGTAACGCGTGCACCACACACGCGCGCGCGCGCGCACTCGCCGGTATCGTTCTTGTACGTATTGTACTCGACACGCGACGGGTGTGTGCGCGACAATAACAACGATAACAACGATGTGTTAACCGTGGTCTCGCGCGTGTTATTACGTGTCGACGTCTAAAACCGATCGCAATAACAATAATGCACTGCCGTACCGGCGACTATTTTTATTGCGCAATCGTAACCACGACGGCGTTGCGCCCGCGCATGTATATTTTTGTAACGATAAACCACGTGTTAAAAATAGTTAGAACGGTTGACCGGGTTTTTTTTTTTTTTTCGTTTTTTTTTTTTTAGCATCATAGACCATTTAGCCACTTTACTGCCAATACTACGACATTCTTCCACTCCTCTCTATTAAATATCGGTTGACCGCGGTTGCTGAAAATTATTGTTTTGCTTATCCCGTACGCTGTAATCCGATCGTGGCTATCCGACGGTGCTGTTACGTAAGCACGTGCGGATTTCGTTTTGCAATTATCGTTTGCCTACGAAAGCACTGCTACTTCCTATTACCGTTATAACATTATTATTACTATTATCGTCTTCATAACTGCGCTTAGGTTTCGCTGTAATGTTGTCATGGCATTACGCCCCCGCCCACCCACCGATCAACGCGACATGTTCGCGGTCGCGGACGAGTGTCATTTCGAGCGCGATCGTTGTCGGCCAGGGGTTTTCTTTACCTCTATATTTATTTTAAGTTTTCTTGGATGAGACAATAATTGTTACCTTTAAAGATGTACATATTACAATAGAAATATTTTAACGTGTATTATATTAGGTACATAAAATTAAGTAACTCTGAATTGTAAAAAAAAAAAATTAAAAAAAAAAATTAAAAAACGATCATGATGCGATATTCGCGTTTATTGTCGATTGTGGCCGTACGATCACTACGATCATGCACAGGTCGCTGGCACGAGTCGACCGTTATTTTTGTCGGTATATCTTGTCGCAATAACCGGATCGGACCGACCGCTTGACGGAGCCGTGACCTTTCAGTCTGTTAAACGTTTTCCGTGGCATTACCTTCGGCTCTGTAGAATCTCGTCCTGCACGTTTCGTTCGGACGTTTCTTTTGCCCTTCCCCGTTGGTGCGCCTCGCACGGGCCCAACTCAAAACGCACGTTTTACGAGGCGTTTCACGCACGGCCTCAACCCGTCGAGCCGCGGACGAACGTAGGTAGGTGCTCCGGAGCGCTTAGCATCCTAACGTTTCCGATAAACTTTTGTCATCAGTTCACGTCCATCACGAACGCACGAGCAACACGCGTTGTCCGACACCCCTGAACTCGACGTTGACGCCGACTTGTCCTCGCGCGACCGTTTAATAACACGTCGATCGTAACAAATCTTTCGTTTTAACGTTGTCGCTACATTCGTTATTTCAATATCAATTGTTCGATTAATACGTGAAACGTTATTAAACGTGTTTTTATTGTTTACCATTAAGGTCGTCTGTGAACTCGGTACGACGATCGAGACGTAATAAAATACGAATCGGCCGTTATCGCGAACGTAACAATATTGGTTTTAACCGTCCGTGACGGTGGAGACGGCGGTACCGTTGAAACCGTGTGCGAGAAAATAACAGCGAAACGATTTTATCCGAGTGGTCTACCGGGAAGTGGTATAAGCAGTGGCGGTCCACCCTCCAACAACAGATACTTTAAAACCGGTTGACCAATATTCTAAGCAACTAATAAACAACATGAACGCTATATCCGACGATTTTATATTAAATCATGTTTTTTACGACAACCGTGTAGGCCACTAACTATGAATAAACCGTTTTTTCGACGGGTTCATTTCAATATTATTGTTAATCAATACCATAGCGGTCGCTAGTCTAGCGAAACCGACGATGTAACGTTACCGGTGAATTTGACGAAAAAAGTTGGAGGGAATCGTCAACGGGACGGAGAACCGCGCTTCATCGGTCGTCGTCGGTGTCTCCTGCGAAAAGTTATCCTACGAACCGCCACGGCGCAAGGGATAAGCTCTCTCCACACTCGCAGCTCCCGGTTATAACACACATTCGTATTTCCGATCGTACACGTTGCCCAATTGACCGTTCTAAGGAATACCCCGTGCAGCCATGGCGCCCAAATGGTTTTCGTTTTCCTATTCGTTTTTCCTACACTCGTTAAAACATGAACAATATATTAAACATATTTTAAATGCAATTATTATCATTGATTATTGTTTATTGATTCGTTTTTAATTTTATCGCTTCGTCGCATTACCTACGGTCGCCAACGGTACACACAGACAACGATGTTTTCCTCGCGAGCCCTCTCACAACCGGTTATATATAGACACTGACCGACAAATGAGATAACTGTGCAATTTGGCCCTTTTTCATTTCTCTCTCTCTCTTTCTCGTTCTCTCTTTATCTATCTCTGATTTGATCTATTTAGTTACTTCTAGTCTTTAACTTAATCTTTGGTCGTATAATCCATCCGTTGACAGTTACGATATTGTTTTCACGATATATAATTGATATTATAATATCATGTTATGATCGCATAATACTGCTAGCGCAATTAAGTCATTTTCTCTTTTTTTCTCTTTCTCTCTCTCTCTCTTTCTTGTGTGATAAAAATATGTATTATATGTAACATTTCACAATGTTTAAGATGATCTAAAATAATTTTAAACTAAATAGAATCATTCGTTATCTAGTTGAATTGTTGTACAAAGAAAACATTGTTAAGCTATGTACTGTATAATATACAAATGGAATACTATTAGTTTTAATCAATTATCATGTTATAATATTTAAGCGTAATTACATAGTACTATAGTTGACTTATTGTAGGTACTTATGATTATATAGTTAATTCGTTTGATTCGTATACAACATAAATATTCATTTATGTAGGTATATATCTAAATATATACCATATGATTAAATATAATTTTTTAGGTACGTTTTAATAGTAGATTCGTTAATCTAAGCTCAAAATTGTTTGCCAGGCGACAATTTTACTTGACCTAACCTAACTTTCCTACACAGTACTGATAAGTTGATGGAAAATAAGTGGTGATAATAAATAAATTTAATAGTAATATAAAGTAAATGATTATTCATAAATAGAATTATATATTATTCATAACAATATTAATGTGATCAAAAACAAAATTGAATGTTTTCTTACGATTAAATGAACCTTTTTCAAAGTTATTTTTTCTTAAAATTTAATATTACATACTATTATTTTAATTGAGTGTTACTAGAAGTAATTTAATTTTACACAAATTTAAATTCTTTTCGATGATAATTTTAGATATACCATAATAACGGAATATTTATATACAATTTATTACTAAAATATAACTTTTGTTATAGACGGAAATCGAATCCCTTTAAAATATTATCATTTTTAATTCGTATACTATTCCTACGTTACAATTACTTCCTGGATTTTTTGCTCTCAAAATTTCCACCGTCATTGAATTTCTTAATCTTTAACTATATTCAGTTAAAGGTTTTCGTAAAACCATCAATGTAACTGACTTTTTGGTTCAGAAACATCATTTTTATGCAGATTTATTTTATTTATAAGTGAACTACAATTTTGAAGTAGTTGTTCGTTTTATTTAAGCCAATTATTTGATGTTTAAAAAAGATTTCAATGATAGTAAAAAGTACAATATCGAACCATTAATATATCACCTACCAACAAAACTTAAACAATATGATTTCATATAATTTATTTGCGATTTTATTGATTTTATATAAATCGGATAGTGAATTTTTAATTCAAAACCGGTCGTACATTACAAACATAATTATATTCCAGGCTAAGCATTTATTTATTTATGTATTTCTATATATTAATTATTTATTAATACATCAATTTACGAGTATTAACCACTAACCAATTTTTTTTTTTTTTATTATTATTTCATATATTTTCACATATTTCTAAAATATCTGTACCTACCATCTTCAAATAACGCAGTGTCTTCTAAATCATTTTTACTGATTGAAAGTCTATTAAATTTTTTAATTCTTCCAAATCATATCGTATTTGTAATTTTATAATATTGAAAAATAAAAAAAATAATCGAAAAAAAAATCGATATACCTAGCTTAAACTATTAACAATTAGATTGCTTAATCATAAAGTACACTTCACGGGCAATGTATTATTAAAACGTTTTTAGAACTATTGTATTAATAATACATTTAACATAATTTGCAAAATTAAGAATACCGGACATAGTTTCTAAGTGCGCGAAAATTGTTAGTATTTTTATAAGAGGGGTAATGTTAACTTGTTCGTATCCGTCTCCTACGTGTTTTATCAAATGCATAAATCGAATTGATTCTAAATGAGTCTTAACGTGCTCGCATTCCAAACAGATAAATCTAGTTAAAATCGAATGAACGTGCAACGTACGAATAATAAACATAATTATAATATGTGTGGTAGGAACTCGAAATCAACTATAGGTGTTGAGCAGTTTGATACGCGTACGTTACAACTAAACGTGTTTATTTTTTGACTATTATAATTATTATAATATACACTATTATAATATACAGTACGAGTTGTTATATTAGTTTTTGTCAAGTCTTCGGCATACTGAGACTTAATGTGTATTACGTGTATAGATTAATAAAATGTTATTTGTTCGTTAAGCTCGTCGTACGTCATAATAATAGGTACATATTTTTTATGCGTATCTATAAGGTATTTTATGTAGTCATAAATAATATTGAACCCTGTAATTATTATTTCTCGTGTTTGTATTTTTTTTTTTTTATATATATATATGCATAATTAATTATTTCAAGTGTATTAATATAAATTATTTGGTATGCAGTCATAAGTATATTGTGGAACTAAAGCAATACTACAGCACATATCTTGATAATTAAATTATTATAACAATACATTAAACTAACGTTTGCGGTTCACGTACCAAACCGGTGGTCATGAACAAAACTATAACAAAAATAATATTGTTGTTAAAATAATTTAAAATGTTCATCTTGGAAACGTAAAACCTTTCCTATGTAATTATCAGCTGTATGATGTGCTACCGAACTTTACTTTTTTCCGTCTATTTACTGTGAAAAAACAAATGCCATTCTATATGGAACTATTAGAAAAATGCTTTTATAATTTATATGGTTGATAAAATATCAGTATGATTTTTAAATGTTGACATTAATGTTGTTAAAAGTCTACTAATAAAAAAAATGTTGATTAGTTATCATAGAAATGTGTTTAACTTTATTGTACCATTACAGCATCCGAAACATACATCTCCGTCAAAATCATTATTCATCAATCAATAAAACAATAATAAAGTTTAGACACTTATCAAAATATATCATATTCTCCTTCCTTCTTCTTCCTCAACTAATCGGCCCATTAAGAGCCATCGCTACCATCACAAAACCTCTCCATTTCTTTCTTTCATATGCATCATCAAAAATCGAGTCTTCTTTTATATTTTTGATACCTTGAATATTATATCACATTTAAAAGGCAAACAACTGCTTGTTTTAAATTATTTTAAATCTTTTAAACATCATACATCTAAACAAAATGAAAATACGTGGCTTTGTGTAATAAATAAGTGTAATGCAAAAGCTTATACTGTGGGTCAAAATGTCATATAAATAAATACAGATAAGTCTGTATTTTTATTACAGTGATGCAAGTGATGATAGTTTAAAACGGCAAAAAATTAGTAACTCTTGTAAAATAAAATATATAGACTCTATAGTTGAAAACCCATTAAAAATAATATCAAAATATGTAACTAAATATGCTAACAAAAAAGATTTGATTTCTCCCAAAAAAAAAAGACATACATTAAATTATTAAAAAAAAAAATAATAATAAAAAAGTTGTAGTCATACCTAAAAAAAATAATTTTTGATTTTAAATTGGCAATGAACTAAGCAGTTTTTGACATTTTCCCGGAAACAGAGGTGTTTAGTTGTTATTTTGGGCCAGGTTAGTTTAGTAAAATTCAAAGTATAAGTTACGCATCACAATATTATTCAATAAATTACTATGTTGGCAAATGGTTAAAATATATTTTTGGACTTCTCTTTCTTAATCCAGATGGAATAGAAAAATATTCTACAGACTATTTAATTGCAGAAAACCTGAAAATTTAGTTAAAACAGAATTTTGTAATTATTTAACTATATATCAAATGATAATAATTTTCCTCCAAAAATGTTGAAACAATAATCTTCTAATAGAATACGTATGAAATACGCATGTGATGTGATGATGTTCATTCCAGTATTCTGAATCTAATATTAAAAATGACAAAATCAGAAGAAAATATAATCTTAATACGAAATTGGAATACACAAGTTGGTGAGAAGAAAGATGAAAATATAGTAGGTAAATATGGATTTGGGAAAATAAATAATAGAGAAGAAAAATTAATATATTTCTATACCGAACATAAACTAGTAAAAGCAAACACGATTTTAAAAAATTATTGAATAAGGCTGTTGTTGTCTTAGGAAATAATGATTATAGCGAGCCTAAACTATCACGAATAAAATCAGTTGTATTCAAATTAGTAGGGCTTGAAACAGAAAAAAAATTTTCTGATTTCGATTTCGGTGTCGGATAACAGTATATATTTTTTTTCGATTTCGATTTTGGTTTTGGATAACGATATATATTTTTTCGGATTTCGATTTTGGTTTTGGATAACGGTATTTATTTTTTCCGATTTCGATTTCGGTATTCTTTTTTTTAATTTTGGTTTCGGTTTTAAATTTTAGTATTTATTTTTTTCGATTTCGGGTTCATTTACCTTTCATTTTTAGTAAGTTATATAGATGTAGAATTTATGACAAAACATACAATAGTCGTGAAAAATTACAATCAATTCAATTTATTTTTAATTCCGAAATAACATTATTATAAATTTATAAATTATACACCTGTCACCATATATACGGCCTAACCTATTTTATCATCATGTTTATTTATAAAATAAATTACCAAAGTACTTACATCAATGTTATACTTAAACAATTATAGATATATATAAAATTTAATTAGGTATACGTTATAATATTTTACATTTATATATTATTACGTCTTATAAGTTGTAAGTTATTACTTATAATGAGTATATAATATAATAATGTTTACAAAGTACATATTTTAGTCTAGACTGAATTTGCAATCTAACTACCCGCATCTCACAATTCCTATATTTATACTTTATTTCCAACATTCCTCAGTTGACCGTATTTATAACAGCTCAGCTATTTAAGTTTAAATGTGATGTATTAATTTTAAATTGTTTTCTGCTTTGAATACCGTTATTGATTTTTTTCGTTTTTGATTTCGGTTTTGAATACCGTTAATCATTTTTTTCGTTTTTTTAATAGTTTCAAACCATACTCAAAAACGGTATCAAATTCCAGTTTCAAGCCCTGCAAATTAGTTGATGATGAAAAACAAACAATCCAGACTGTTTCAGGCTGTTTTCACATAATTGCATTTTTTTTTAAATTCTAGATACAGTAATAATGTGCATGGACGATATATTCAAAGAAAATGATTTAAGTTTATTGAATTCTATAAATAATGTCTTATTTAATGATATTCTTATATATCAGTTCATAAAAAAAACTTGGAATACATTCAAAATAAAATAAAATAATTTATCAAGCGAAATTTAAATTATAAATAAATTATTTATTAATCTTGAATGTGATTCAACTATAAAAAAAATAAATTGTATTAATTAATAAAATAAACCAAATATTTAATGTTTTTAATGAAAATAATTTATTTATATTTTCAGTCAGTCATTAAGTTAATATATATGTACATAATAATAAATAGTAATTTAATAATAAAAACGGGTTAGTCCAAACAAAATTATTAGTGTATAAAAACAATTGTAGATTGTATAAAATTATTTTGACCAATCAACGAGTTGTAATTTTCTTGGGGCTTTTTTTACAATATCCTCAATTATTTCAGTTTCTAAAATGACCTCTTTTTTATTTATGTTTACTAAAGCTAATCCATTTAGTCTATTTTCAGTTATTGTTGATCTTAGGTATGTTTTTAGTCGTTTTAAGATAGAAAAAGTACGTTCTGGCGTAGCTGTTATAACAGGTAGAGTTGTGAATATTTGTAAAAGCAATTTAATATTAGGCACAATATCTGTACAGTAAGGTAAAGTTTCAATAGTGGTTTGAGGTTTATTCAATGTGCTATTTTTTTCATCGTTTTTCCATCGATTTTGCCATGTACATAATTCAAAATGTAATGTAACAATTACATTTAACAGAAGATCATTATCGTATATTTTGCAGCCTCTAAAATAGTTTTGATATCATATTTTTGAAATGTGATGGGTTTAATCCTTCAAGTGGAATAATTTTTCTTAACCTTTGATCAAATTGTGTCCTTAGTTAACATATAATTTGGTCAAGAAATGGAATGAATATAGTTATTTTGTAATAATCTTCCGGACTTTTAACGTTCACATTAGCTCTTTTTTTTTGTTTGCCACAAAATCGAGGTATTTTAATATCGTCGTCTATTATAAAAGCAATCTCAAGTACATCACTAAATATTTTTTTTTTTAAATGAATATCAACATCTCTACGAATAGATTCTAAAGATTCTCGTACAGTTACAACATCATTTAGTGCTTTTGATAAGTCTTGTTGTTTACTTTGAAGAATGTGACTTAAATTTAATGTATAGGAAAAAATAAAAACTGCTACTTCTAATGAAACAAGAAAATCGCTTTTTTCTGATAGCACTACCATACATCGCTGCTTTACTTGAGAAATCTGATTTACTACCATTATTTTCATAGTCGTCTAAAGCTTCTATGATGTACAAAAACAATTCTTTGAATGTAATTAATGCATCACGCATTAACCCAACGAGTCTCACATAAGGTCTTGAGTTTATTCTTTTTTACATTATTTTTTAAATAAAAACATATATCTGTATTAAATAACAGTATAAAAATTATTAATTCGATTTACCTATTTACTTTTTACCTGATTTCCTCTGGTAGTCGAAAAAACTACACACCATTTACAATAAGCATCCTGTTTAATTACGTTATAAGCAAGCCATGGAAATGATAGTAAATATTTATACTGAAATTTTCGTTTTCGTTTACCTTCAATACTTATAGGAAAATCGTAAGAAGGTGGCGGTATATATGCATTTTTCAAGCAAGCAATTATTTCAGTGCTATTCAAAGATCTATTAACTACAAAAGAAGCAATATCATGCAAGATATGAGTTGTAGTTGAGGCAGAACCATGCAATTTTTTATTCCAAAATATTAACATAAATATATTTTTTTTATTTTATATATAATTAAATCTATATTGACATATTGTAATCATAATACTAACATCGTCTTGGCTATGTCGTCACTGCGTCTACATTACCAATAGTTGAGGACTAAACATGAATCAAATGAAATAGTAAGACTAAAGACTTTAAAATTTGAATTATATTTTATAATAATACAAAATTATATTCTTACCGTGTCATTAAATTGTTCAACTTTTTTTTTCTTCGTATTGAAAATTTAATATAACATAGATCTCTTTTCAGACATACTTGTTGTTATTTGTTTTATAGTTTTGAATACAAAAAAAAAAATACTTATTACTGAATAATTCAATGATTTACATTATGACTATACTCGTATTTTACGTTAACGTCAGACTAAAATAATACAAATTAACGATACGGTTGTTGATTTTCTGAACAATGATAAGTGATAACTGATTACACTATTTGCATTACGAATTTTGGTACGGAGACCGTCAAACTATGTCAGTGTCACCAAAACAGCTATGTAACTACTCACAGGCGGCATCTGAAACTCGTGAACCACGTTAATGAAACGTGATAACGGTAATAATGATTACTGGTAAAACCGCAAAATATTCATTGGTATAAGCATATTATTGTAGTATGCGTTCATGTATACGAATAAATATAAATCTTTAAAATAAAATCTAGTACATACAACCAACGAGGGGGGGCATGGCCCCTATGCCCCCCTGGATACGCCACTGATCATATCGTATTTATTATTAATTCCTATTATTTATCATATAATTTTAGTAATATAATTTTTTTAAAATTAATAACCTTATACCAAATTTTACTCCACAATTTTAAAAGGGCTCCACAGATTTTTCGGGTATAAAAATTATTTAAGAAATATTTCTAATATTTTTATGCTATTTGGTAATTTGTTTATTAAGACTTTTTGAAATAATACATTAACATTTTGCCTTTAACCTTATTAGTAAACCCGAGTCGACGAAGAAAGACATACTTTATTTACTCACTTGGATTTTACTAAAAATTAACTTGCCAATTCTTGCCAATCATTAGTTTTCGTTTGGTACTGATTTCAAAGTTTTAAGTCAAAACGAGTGGGCTACATGAAGGTGGCTCAACTTTAAATTTTTTTGGTTTCACGGTGAAATTTTAGACTTGCAAATACCAAAAATTTACTTGCAAATGCAACATAATGGCATAAACATAATAAAAAAATCAATATATAGGTTGGCCAATTTCACGGACGTTTTTGTTGGTCGGTCCCAAAGTAAGTCTTATAAGCGACGTTCACTGTATGGTAAATATACCACTCAAAAATTCATCAGACAGACATACATCTCGTCCTGTTTATTGTACATGCGATATGATATTAACTCTCAACTGTTTGTACATCGCATAATTTACTACGACAGACTTTAGATTGGTTTTCGCTGGAACAGGTGGTGGTAAGATAATTGAAAAAAAAAAACACGTGTCAATATTTAAATATAATACATTTAATATATTATATACTTTAGGAAATTTATGGTGGCATTTTCAATAATATAATATAGCACACACGCGATATAATAATAATTGGTCTACACACCTTCATCTGTATTCGTTCACCAGACGATAATAGTAAAATTAACATAAAACACTTTATTTTTTTAAATTATAATAGTATAAAATTATTCAACATCATTATCATATATAACAATATTTGGCGAATTTCTTCATAATATTTACGGGAATAGTAAGTATAATATAATATTAGAGCAAATTATAAAATAAAATCACGTTATTTACAAAAATGTATAACAACAATATTTTTCATCTTTTTTTTTCTTTTTCCATAAAAAGGTTAGTATAACAATTGAACATCAAAATCTGTTTAGTAAAAATTACAATATCAAAGGTAAATAATGGAAAAAAAAACATTGCTTAACACGCACTCCGCTGGAAAACAATACATTAATATTAGTATTGTAGTATAATATTGAATACACAAATAACGGACGAATAAACGGATGATTGATTAGCAACAGCAGGTTAATGAGAGAGGATTATAATAATATACTACGTTAAAAATAGAATGATAGTAAAATTTGTTTAGTTTTTAAAAGATAATTCCTCGATCGTCACGCAAGTAATTATTTTTTTAACGTGGCGAATACGAGTTAATGCCCATCATCAGGAGTTTGTAAATCGTTATAAAATAATAAATAAATCGAATAAAAATAAAAAATAAAATTGATGTACTGAGATCATTATAATTTTGCATACGGTTAAATTTTGACTTGACGGAGAACATAATTTAACACTTAAGTCTATTATCATCCGATTTTACGTTCCGTTCTATGCATTCCACGTTACACTATGTACAATTTAATATAACAAATTTTAACTATAAGGGCACATTTATTACGTTAATTGAATGCAAAATTATGATTAGAACTTTTTAATAATAATATTTTATGATCGAAAAAATAATATTAATCAAAACCAAAAAAAAAAAAAAAAATGCCGAATTTAATAAATTGTGACTACGGATGTCGAAGAACTTGTCATTAATTTGATACAAACCTATTTAATATTTTACCTATAACAGAATACTTATTATAGTATTTACGTAGTAGATATGACATATTCGTGTTATTGAAATACCTAAAGTATGTCTAACCCACTATTTACCTACTAGGTGGTTTTGGACGCTAATTTATATTTTTGATATTATACTCAGTCGGAAAATAACGTTAACACAACAATTGTCTTTTAATAACACGTTATCGTTCTTATTATTATATTTTAATTTCAATTCGTCATAGCCCGCGAGATCAAAACACGATTAAACGTTGATCCTATCATGGAGTTCCGAAAACGAAAAACAAAAATCAACGTGTAATACGTGTCCAAGAACATAAAAATTTTGTAGGCACAAACCGGACACGCTTATGACGCGCGGGCGGGGTACGGTGTAAGTGATTATAGTTACGTTGTCCGACGGCGGCGGTGTCAGAGTCGATATACGCGTGAGATACAAAAACGAAAAAAATTTAAATAAAATAATAATAATAATGGTATGAACAGAAATAAATAAATACGATGACTGCTGCAGAATCATCGGTCGTTTCTTCGCCCAGGTCATGTTTGCATTTCGATGGCGGGCGCCGGCTTGTGCAATATGCTCACCGGCCTCGAGTTAGAACCGTTCATGCCGTTTTTCCGACCGCTCTCGCGCTTCTTGAACGACTGCGGCGACTGCAACACTTCCGTGTACTCCCGTATGAGGTTGGCCACTTGGAACGCCTGTAACGTGAGTCGTGTTAGTGGCCGTCAGGTATTTGGTTCGGGTTTTCGCAACGTTAGCAAAACTTTTGGCGCGCTCGCGCAGACCTTGGATACTTCCCGGGGACAAGACGTGTCTAGAAAAACGCAAGACGTTTTGCTACTTGGCCCGCCGCCAGGGTACAAGCAAGTCATGAGTTGCTTCGGGGCGGTATACAGTTTTAAAGAAATTGAAAAGGCAAAATTAAATAAATATCGATTTACACGACAAAAATTACTGTGATGCGACTTAACTATTATCGTAGTTCCATCAGATCACTATAACTGCGAACTATAACATCGGATTAGAATTCCGATTTTCAATGCATTTGATAAAAAGCGAATGTACAATATTCGCTTTAGGACGGAAAATATCCAACGACGCGCCTGCGTGCAACCTTCGAGTCAACAACGTGAAGACTACGCGACACGGTATCTCCGCAGTCGTCAGGGAAACTCTCGGCACACGTCGAAACGCGCGCGTTCGAACATCGTAAAGATTGCGTGACAGGTAGGCCAGTGGTTCCCGACCTGTGGGCGATCTTGTAGGGGTTAAACTTTTGGGAGTCAAATAGTACTTTTCGGAGGTTAGGTTAGCCTGTTTTTATAATTATTATTATTTTTTTTTAACTTTAAATAATATTCATTCAGTGTACTCTCGATTATCCGCGGTTTTCGGCGAAATGAAACATGTGCAAAAAAAAAAAACATAAAAAGTGTTTCATTACACTGTACTTGCAGCGTAAGGCAGCACAGCGTAAAAAAAAACTGCGCAAATTACAACGAAGTTCAGTTTAACCGTTCACTCGGTGAGGTCATGACCAATATGATAGCCGAAAAATAAATAAATCTAAGTTCTGAATCAAATTCTAATGATGAATTTGATAAATTAATTTTGATTTACTCGTTAACTAAACGTAAAAAACGATGCAAAAGTAATTTTAACAAAAAAAAGAAAAAGTCTCTGTAAATTAAATTTGCCGTCGACATTTTCTGACAATTGATTTTTTTCCATCGTGATACTATAGATTAATAAAACATGTGAATAACGGTAGAAATTAAAAAATTAAACGTTGTTTACAACAATCAAATCTAATTTAGTAATAAAAACTGCGCTACACATTCGCAGAATACTGCATCGTTACTCTGTGCTATGCAAGCTGACATAGAAGCATTACTGCAATGCCCTGCCTACCTCCCAATGTGCGCTGGTAAGTTCTAACAGATTACAGAAAACTACTCTGAGTCGCTTGCGTATCAATGTGCGCAAGGCCTAATGGTCTCAACAATATTAGGAACCACTGATCTAGACGTTTATAAAATCTTATTCTCTCCTCCCATCGCTTACTAAAATTAGTATTTCTTATACTCGAATGTATCCAAAACAACTTTCGATTGGTTCGAATAAATGATAAAAATATTGTGATGATATTTTTTTTCATGATACACTATGAACGGTTTTTCAAGAACGTACGAATTATTGTTCTTTTTGTATTATATTTAAGGTAGAAAAATCTCTGAGCGTATTTTTAATAAACAGATACGCTACAAATGGACGCAGTCATTGCTGGACTACGCTTCGAGCGTGCACCGCATATCTATAGGATCAACAGTTTCGCGCTCTCTGCAGCCGCACTTAAACATTTACCTGAGAAGTGGTTAAAATGATCTTGCTTTGTTTCTTGTCACTGCCTGTGATGATCATCAAGCAGTTCACGGCCGGGCTGTAACTCAGAATACTGTCGTATTCGTACGAACACAACGCATTGCGGGACCGATGTTCCAGTAAATGTAAACCGGCTTGATCGACGGCCAACCACAGAACACGGGGCCAATTCGAGGTGAACGATTGCTAAAAACATATTAATTATAAAATATTATATTTTTATGTTAAAACAACAACATAATAGTGATAAGTAAGTTTTCCATGTTCCGGTAAATTTTTAACAGCAATTATTTTATTGTTTATGAACAATTTAACTGTCGACTGATCTGTCGTATTACCTATACCAACCTAATTTTTAACATATTATTTTATATTAGATAGGCACTAATAAATCACGAGTTTACGTATGTGAAAATATCTTTACGTTTTTGTGTCTACATAAGATTATTAAAAATAATTATAAAAATAAAATAAAAAATTGATTTTTTTTTTTTTTTTTTTTACTAAAAATTTAAACGAATAACCTTAATACCAAAAACTGTAAAATTAATCACAAAATGTTACGATAAGAAAAGTATCCATTTAAACATAACAATATCGTTAACATTGTCATGTCGATACATGTTGAAATATTGTACGACAGTTATTGATCTTTATTTTATTATTAAACGAAACAGATACAATAAAAACGGAATTTTATTTCATTTTCAATCTTGCATTTTAAACACAGTGGTTTCTTGTTTCTGCAGTTTATAACTTTTGCGCATTACAACTATCATATATCATATAAATTATTATATTGTGATGAGAAAATGTTTCGTTTAGCTAAAATGATTATGTATTTATATTATATTTATTTGTATTGCCATGATTTAATGTGCTAAACGCGATCTCGATACATGTATTGCACGGTTGCCTATTTAATACGCCGTTTTTAAACTTATAAGTAAATTGTAGGTAGATATCAAACTTCCAGTCAACAGTCCGTAAACGAGATTCAATTATTGCCAAAGCGATATGTTTATCACAAGCGGTTGGTACTATTATCATTATAGCTGTTCTTGTATTATCATTTGTACGGAAAAAAAAGTCACATAACACTAACCATGACATCGAATATGGTAGCTCTGTGAAGTGGCCAACTTTTGATTAGGTTTAAAAACGCTTTTTTAGCCTCGGCCGAAGTCATTCCTCTCAAACTTTGGTGATGCATCGCTATGTCTTCGTTAGGCAAGTTAGTCACAAGCCTGGATGGCAGACAGTGACACGAAACCTGTCGATATTCTATCACGTTATCTTCGCAGTCCCCTAGTTCTACTTGAGCTTGTAAAGAGGTCAACATAACCTAAAAAACGAAACATAAATGTTATGATGAATCAACCGATCAGTTTGAGAATGAAGCTAGGAAGCACGTACCGCTTCGTTATCAGTCACCGGGAACCGATCGCATCGGAGCCCGTGCAGCACTTGGTGATACAACAGTTCTTTTTCGACTGGGTCGTCCAAGTCCATGTACTGATCGAGGAACAAATGTTTTTTGAACAGGAATATGTGACTGTGTTTCCGGATAGGTTTGGACGTGTTCGCTGTCCCCGTGTTGGCGTTCCTGTACCTCTCCCACTTGGACATGACGTCCGCCAACTTTTCCTCGGCTACCAGACTCCGTTCGGAATTGCCCAGCACCTCGTAGATCGCGTACCCTGCAGGATCGCATGATACACGTTATTATAAAGAAAAATGTCTGAATATACTCATGGGTTAAATAAGTGGAAAAATGTGGTTATAGCTATTGCTGTAGCAGGAATGCCAGTATAAGAAAAATAGTATAAATATAACCTTAGACTTTTTATACATTGTCAAGTATTCTGTATCTACTTGTAATGTGTAAAATCAATCGAACTGAAATAAAAATATTTTTTTTTTTTTTTTTACCGATTATATTGTTTTAAAAATTTAAGTACAATAGGAATTTTAAAATATTAACTGTTTATTATTTTTGAAAAATGCATGAATTAAAATTCCACTACACGCATGCGTAAGATAACGCGAACCACGCTCCGTCTATCAGTAAATATAAAGTCCGTACATAGAGTTCTATACATTAATATGGGTTTATTTTTTCAGACTAAAACGATTTATAATTAGTCCGTGGCTGCATGTGCTCACCCATCGCTGTTTTCCTCAGTCCTATTTTATTCTTGACTATTTCCACTACATCCTTGGCCGTGGAAGACGGATGGAACTCGATGGCATGGTATTGCCCGTCCATGAAATGAAACCGGGCGTATATTAATCTCCTATTGATGGTGCACAGTATTTCCTCCCTGGACGGTGGCCATTGCCTTCTCCTCGTGCCTTTGGTCTTCGACACGCACTGGAAACACAACACAAACTTAATAATATTATCGATAGATATCAGCCATGCCGTGTGAAACTATATGATTGGTGGGATGGATGGTGTAAAAGTGTAACTCGACTTTTACATACTTTTTCAGCGAAACGGGCGTATTTTCCCTCTTCCGTCACACAGTCGCCCGCACATTTGCGTAGATGTGCGATCAAATACTTGCGAATGTTATGCTGCGGTGGCAAGATAACCGAGCACGTGAGCGACAGCAGCGCCCAATGCCTAAGGTTCACCCGTGAGTTTGGATCTGGATGTTCCGTGGTCTGTTTGATCAGCTGTAGGTACAGTTCGCAAAGCAACGACTCCTTCCGCATCGACCTCTCCATAACGTTCTGTATCAGAGTAACGTGTTCGTCTTCTGCTCTACGTACTACTTCACCTGACGGACATCACAATAATCAAATAAAATATTATTACCGAACGAAGTATAACTTCCACGACGCCAAAGAAAACCATTGCATTTGAAACGTTTCTATCCTTACCGTTTTGACCTAATCCAGCGTATTTCAATATTATTTGAAACATCTGTAAAGCGATCTGTTCGTCTTGTTCGGACAGACGACTGAGACTCTGAGAAATGGGCTGTCTACTGAAAGACCAATAGGATCCCGAAAAACCCTTGTACGTTTCTCCGTGATCGGACAACGATCCAATGTGTTCGGCCCACAACTTTTCCAACTTGTGTTTGCTTAACCTGCAAACGTCGTAATAGCATTGTTATTGTTCATAAGCCTCACAATCGAACATGAATATTATAATGGTTTGTGGTGCACGTCACGAGTGCAGCAACGGTTTCCGTACTCACCTGCGCAATGTATTTTTCAAAAAACTACCAGGCGTGTCTTGAGGTTTGTTGAGCATGTCTGAATCGATTAGACTGCGCCGGCAGTTTATCACGTTATGGTACAGCCGAATACGATCGTCGTTGGTTATAGCTTTCACCTAATAAATAACATTTAAATCAATAATACGTAAACATGACAAGCGCAATTCGATTATTTATGTCTTACCGGAGCTTCGTTTTCAATTATCCAACCGGCCAGTCCTGGGCAATAGCTAACAATGAGTGAACCTATTTCAGATTTTTGCGGAGTTTCAAACACAAAACATTTATGAGCCGAGGCGTTGTCGTTCTGATGTCTCATCAGATTTATGGTCAGAAAACAATCGCTAGGGTCCAAGAATATGGATTCTACATCTGTGTACCTGAATTCGTATATGACGAATTTGTCTTCCGGTTTTATCAACATCAATCCTTCGCAATTCACACCTAGTATTAAACTGTTTCCTAGAAAAATAAAAATAAAAGAAAAACATAGAATTAATTTAAACTGTAAAAAGTCTGTTGATCATTCACAAAATAGTGTAATATCCATACCATACGACCAATATCCTCTATAAGTGACATGGAACATTGTAGTTCCGTATAATGGGTACTGCATTACGCATGACAAGTACAATACCTTTGCCATTAACTCCGATCTGCCAGCACCGTACTGTTGATGAGCTTGAGCTAATATCGGCACCTAGGAGAATACAAGTTTGATTCCATCGTTAATACAGCGCGATATTTTTCACCGTTTACGGTGAACGGTCTATTGTAAAAAGGTCGGTTAACAATAATTACCCAAGTGTCAGAACTCCTTATTCTACTGATTCTGAAAGGTATATAATTTTCCACGTCCGCATAATATTCTAAAGTGGATTCCTTCGGATCTCCGAGAGACACTTGACATTGAAGTCCTGCCAACTGAAGAGCGACTTTCTCGCTGACCGGAAAATCGTCGCACTAGTATCATTGCATTAATTAATGATTATAATGTAAAAATAGACGTACAATAGTGTAAGCTCACAACGAAATAATTTAATACACAATAAATATTTTACCTTTACTACGCAATAAACGGCTTGAGCGTACAACAGATTTACTTCGATCGGATCCTGCGAAATCTCTCGAGAATGTCTGAACAGTCGACGTTTGAATATGAAACGATTTTCACCACTTGTCAATGTTGTGTTACTAGATCGCCGACTTAATGATGGAAAACTACTCGATTGAGTGGTTTGCTTAATCTGCTGCTTCCTGTGGGAGTTAAATACGAAATATGTACAGTACGTATTAAAATGTACACGTATTAATATTAATATGAATAATTGTATTCGTATAAATCGTAATCCATGAGTCTAAACCACATTTTTACTCCTCCGTTATTAATTTTTGTATTCTCCATTTCATTCTTCAATAAATAAAAAACAGCCATAATGCCAACAGATAGTTAATGGGCAAAGGGAATGTGAGCTGAATAATATGTCGAACAGACAGACTTTATCAACCGAATTAATCATAGTTTATCAAGGCTTTAACATAATAACAACTTTCTAAAACATATCTAAAGTTTTTTTGAAACAACTCTTTCCGCATTAATAGTTAAGGAAAGACTTTTACGAACTTTATTTATTATCATCACTTATCCATTTATAATTAATTTACCGTTTACCACATCCATTATTAATAATGTTCATAAAGAATAATTACACTTTTAAATAAAAGTGACGTGATGCATATTACACTAATATAGTACTATGACGGAATAAAAAAAATTATGATTTTACGCGATAGGATTTTATACAATAAAATCAGTTCATTTTTGATGAAAAATGTAAAAAAAAATCATTCTAATATCGGTCTCAGTACCGTTAGCAGCTATCAACGCTTAGCCGTTAACTGTAACATTATCCACTCTCTCCCTGTTAAATATTAAGTTTCCTTTACTCCAATAGAAAATCGAAAAATCGATTTGAAGCTACCATGGATATATATTTGCGACCCTAAAGCGTATTATTATCAATAGTAAAGTATGACTTACGATTGCCAAGCAGCAATAATATCGTATAAATAGTGATGGGCGCGAACGTGTTCTTCGCCGTCCGAACGGCTTTGGTATATCGACCAACCGTCGATCGACCTCAGGCACAACTTGTCCGCGAGCTTGTAGACCGCATCGCTGGCCGTGTCAGTGGGATGAATGTCAATCGCTTTGGTCCGGCCGTCCAAGAAGAAAAACCGGCAGACGATCGTGCCGAGTCTTCGCATGGCCTATGTGCACGCGAACAACGAATAGAATATTATTACAAGTCCTTGTCGTTTGGCTATCACAAGAGCGATCTAAAAATCGTCTATCTGAACAAATAACACGATATTGGACTTACGGCAATCTCGACCGTTGACGGTGGATATTGACGACATGAGACTTTAATGTTCTTGCAATTGTCGAGACACCACTGAACGTATTGTTTGAGTTTGCCCTCGCACTGCAAATTCTTGCGCAAGAAGCTCACGAAATACTAAAAACAAATATACATTATTACAATTATTATTGTGTTTAAAAAAATAAAAATAAAAAAACTAAACAAAACAAAACAAATTGCTCGCTGCCATAAGTGTACCTTGTAGAGCAGCTTGCTAGGTTGGAACGCAACGATTGCGAGACAAATGAGCAACCACACCCTTTCGGTGGACTCCATACTCGGGTTGTTCGTCGCTTGTCGCATGCACTGTACGAATATTTCGTCTCGCAGCTCTTCGCGACCGATCCCCGCACCGATTATCGATTGAATGATTTGTACTTCATTGTCTTGTTTTATGTCACCTCGGGTGTACTTGCACAGATCCTGTAATCATATTTTACACGACAATGAAATAACTACTGACCGTCAAACTTTCAAACATACGACGAATCGTTATTTATTATTCATGCACCACATATAACTGATTTCATAATTTATGGGCACGATTTAATCCAAGTGTTCACCGCTCATTTGGATTTTCCAAAAGATTTGTCGTTCATGCTGTCTTGGTGGTAACACGAACAGTAGCGACGACCATCGTGATGCCCATCTGACGACGGGTCAGCAACGCTGGCGGAAACCCCAACCGACGGATCGCCGTCGAGCATACGGGGAACGCTGCGACCGTGCCAGCGGCTGTGCCGCATATATTCAACGATTTCCATACCCTTCTGAGAACCACCACCTATCTTGCCCACCACCGGTAGTTGGATCGCTAAGGTCCCGGGTCCAATATCCAACAGTCCAATAATAATAAGTACGGTGAACACTCGTTCGAGTTATTCCGACCGTTGCCAAGGACCTCCCTCGTCTGCTATATTAAATTTCCTTATAGTAAGTATTATATTTCCTATGGCGAAACAACCATCAATCTTTCTGAACCGTATTAAAATTATATTTTACCAAGTCGTACAAGACCGAAATATTCTCTGCCCCAATCGTATGCTCATAAAATAATTTTCGTACCAATGTAGTTTACGTGATTATTTTAAACCGAACTAACGACGGCATTAACAGTACAAAAAATACCGTCTCAAATTCTATGCGTTTCAATTGAAAATTTAACTATTATACGGAATACAATATAGTTAGTTTGTAAATAAAAAATAAAAAAATCAATGCTCCAACTCAACTGCCACTTACTCTGAATATTGATATGGCTATTGTAATATTGTCCGGGTCGTACATGTGTATGTGCGAGGTCGGAATTGTTGAGCCACGGTGGAACGAAACCATTTCGTACATTGGTATTTTTTCCAAAGATTTACTCTTTCTCTTCAGCGTGGCTATTATTGTACCTGAGTGATGATAATTAGTAGGGTTATTATTTTTTTTTTTTTGGTATAATTTGATTTCCAACATAATAGTATTAGTAATTGTTTCAAATCTCAACATACCTTCAGGCGAGCGTTCGTGGGCATTGAAATAGTTCTCAGCGAACTCGAGTATGTCGTGGTAGTTATCTTGCAGCGGATCCGTGTTCATTTTTTCTTGTATGTTCTCCATCTCCAGCAGTTTCTTCTCTACTCGGAACTTTCTCCTCTGATCGCGTTCGACGTCTTCAACGAAGCCATTGTTGTACTTCCAATTAGCACCCTGCTGCAGGTAATGCACGTTGAACGTATTAAAAAGATTTTATCTGGTAAGGGAGTAGATGGAGGACAGGAAATGCGATATTCCCTGTATCAAGGGTTTTCAACCTACGCGTCGTGGCTTTCGGGGGCGTCGTCAGTTATATTATCAAAGGAGTTGCGTCCACAGAAGAAAAGAAAAATTTATTGATTTTATTACTATCATTATTTGTACGGTTCAAGTTATATTCGAAATCAAAATAACCCAAAAAGGTCGAAAACTCCCATCCTGCATAATACAATATGTTTTTCTCACCCCGGTGCCGGAAGTTCTTGAGCTGGGCCTGCTTTGACGAGGTGAAGAAAGCACGGTGGCCGGACTGACGGACCTATTTGTGATAACCTCGGCCACCACAGGGCTTTTAGCTCGAGTGGTCATCTTGTGAGGTGGAGTGGGCAGAGGCGGTGGTGATACGTTATCTTCGTCCCTGGGAAGAACGGCTTCGTAGATAGGCTCGTCATTGGCTTTCACCTCCTGCTGGTTGAACGGTGGTGGTGGTGGAGGTGGATGTGACGGCTCCGGCAACACGTGAAGCGCGCTCGACGAAGATGAAGACTTTTCCAGACTCCTTCGGTTCTCAAGTTTCAATTCTACGCTTTCTATTTCTCGCTGAATAACACTCTCCAACTGTAATAGGTATCATACAACAAACAATGTATACGTTAAAACCGGCTACAGTTCGACTTATTGATCTTAGTTTTAGTGCAATCGAATTATTTTCATTCACGTGGTTTTGAAAAACAAAAAAAAATGTTAATATGAAAGCGAAACAATTAAATAATAGTGTTAAATTTAATTTATAAAAAAAGTTAATAGATTGCATAATCATCACTTTGGTTGAAAGGAAAGAAAAATGATTATTATTTTCGTGTCTAGAAATCCATTAATATTGATACTTTATCAAACTACGTTGAAAAGTTAAGCGTTTTTGCTTATATAATTATATTAAATATAATTATTTAGTTTATATTATACAATTTTATGTACTTATAACGTGCAAACTTCACTCTGTACGTTTCATAAATAAATTATAAAAAAGTGCATATAAGCGTTTTAATAGAAAAGTATAAATATTGTAGCTAACGAATATAATTCATAATACTGTAAACCACATGACATAATACTCGATGTTTGAAGAATTTATTGTGTGCAAATTACCTCATCGAAATCGCTTACTATTTGCTTCATATGGTCTCCGACACCACTATCCACCGTGCGGCCAGATTGGACATCAGATAAGAACGCAAAAAGATTGTCCAAATCAACGGATTCGTGTGCCGGGTCTACTTGCAATCTCGAGTTTAACTGTTCTGCTAACTTGGCAAATTCGATTTCAGATATCCTAGAAAATAAACATTGTATAAATGTGCTAGCATATTGTGCCCGGGTGTTCTGCGAGGATTTGGTAACTAGTGCGACATAGAGTAACATCTACTGTGATAATCAAATTTGTTTTTTTCTTTTTTCAATGAATCACATTGCTATAAAATTATAAACTCTTTTTCAATTTCAATTGAAAAATTTATAAAAAAAAAAAAAATGTATATTGTAAAATAGAAAAACTCAATTTAAAGGGTTTATTTTTCTTTAAGTTTCTTTACTTAAGAAACTTACTTTACTTTTTTTAACGTCTTGAATTTATAAACTTTATGAAATTCCATTTTTTTTTTTTTTTACGATTCACATACAAGTATCTAAAGAACGATAAATTCTGTGTTTTATACTGGCCACCGTTGTCTAATTATAGTTATATAAGTGATTTAAAAATATATACACTACAATATTAAATTAAGTTTTAAATACTAAATTATTAAATATTAACTTATCCGATAAAAAAGCACAAATTATATTATTATGAATTATTTTTCTGTAAATTGAAAAATTTGAACCATTATAATTTAAAAATTGTCATTTTAAATAATTGTTTAAAATTTTATAAAAACAACAAACATAATGAAAGGTTTTTTTTTTAATTTATAACTTAAAATATTTAATATTTATTTTTAAAAATCAATTATGTATAGTTTTTAGTTTATAAGTGAGTTACAATACGGGACTTGAATATCTAATCACAGTATTAACGTTAAGCCTCGTGATGCACAGTTCTATATAGTATTTACGTCGCATACTTCTCGTCTTTCTCGATTTTTAATTCGTCTATCTGTTCGGCTTCTTGTTCGCTGTTTTTGATTTCCTCTGCTCTGCGTTTTTCTTCTTCCACTCGTTCGCGTTTTCGCATCTCTTCCTCGACTCTTCTCATCTCCCGCAAAGCAGCGGCGACCTATAAAAATTATACTGAATTATCTGAGGAACGTACTGTTTTCAAATCATATTAAGTTTTAAATGCTTTTTCCGAGTGGGACACACACTGTACCACATTTATAATAAATATATACTATTTTTATTTACCTCTCGCGCAAAAACACCTCTTAAATGAGATTGAATCACAATTGCAGCACGGCGTTTCTTCAAGAACTCTAAACGTTGTTTCCAACTTTTGAATGCAGTTTGTACAATTATCACAGCACATCTTATTTTAATGTAATCTGTGTAACATTTATAAAATCAATTAAAATCAATCGGCTGACCTATGAAAAAAAAGGTGATAAAATTGAAAGCAATATAAATAATATTTACCCTTCCTAACGAAATACCCTTTCCACGTTCGTTGAATGTTGGTGGCCATTAGGTTGAGCATTGCCTTTCGCTTGTCTTCGAGCGGTTCGTGAGCTTTGTTACGGAGAAAAACTTTTGATTTACCTATTTGACACTCTTCCGTGGGAATATTTTGAAGCGTTAAAAACGCCCTGAAAACACAACACAATAGTTTTTAACGTTCGCATATTTAAAATCATTTTTTTACCGTAGTACATACATTACAGCCGAACGCTCTTCATCGGGTAATTTTTTCCTCACTAAACAACGATACCGACCAAGAAACTCCTGAAAAGACAAATGTACTGGATAACCTTCTTTGCGGATTCTGATTATATCCAGCATTCCTAGGTATTTCAACTGATCTAGAACTAATTTCTCGTTGTAATGATTCGGTGCTTTGATCATGTTCGGCTTGATGCATCTAACATACCTAGATATACCATGGATGGTTGGGAGAAAAATAATAAATATTTATCAATTTACAAATTACAATACTCGTGAATTTTTTTCGTGTTCATTTAAACAACGTTTACCATGGATTAGTGGACTGAAGAACATCTACTAAAGCTTGTAGCTGATGTCTGAACGTGTCGCTGACAGTGGGACGGCCTTTAGTTGTCCCTCGGGTCGACGTTGAATTAGCGCTTCCCATTCGCGATACGGTTGATCCCAGCAAATCCTGTATTAATATTGTGTTAAATCAGGCCTTCAAGAACATAATAACGTGAAAAAACTAACCTGATATTTGATGAGTTCGCGCACGAAAATGTTCGTCGAACGTGTCATGAAATCGAAAAACACGTCTTGTTGTACATCGCGATTCTTATCAACGAATCCACTTGCGGTGTATGTAACGGAGCCAGCGTAGTGCACGATGCTAAACTCGGATTCCCACTTTCGACGATCGTCTCCTTTTATGAAATTCGGGTGATTCTCGAACTCCGAGTGTAAATTCATCAAGTATGTAGTATCTGATCCCTAAATATATATATAAAAAAATAATTTAGTTAAAATACATCAAAATAATAAGACATAGATAAACAATAACACTACGGTGATTATTTTATCTCCATAAAAATATTACCTTAGGCATGTGGCATTGCTCGGTCAATAACTTGAGGATACATCGAGGTGGTTTCTCGATTAGTTCTAAACACGTTGTGTTATCAGTAAACTGAATGTGTGAAAATTTGATTTCTTCTTGCCGATACTTAAAGAAAATACAAATATCATAGTAAGATTATGGTATATTTATCTAAACATTCTAAACGTATGTTCTAATTATGTCAATAGTGCAATAATTATATGATAACACGATATAGATTATACGTACGATTTCCTGTTCCAAGGCAAACACGTAGTGATTGAAAAACTTGTGCAATTTTTCGTTGGTATAATTAATACATAACTGTTCGAATGAATTAATAGTGAAATTCTCAAAACCAAATATATCGAGAACGCCAAGAAATCTGGACGAATCTTGACCCGGATTCGTACACGTGTTGATATGGTTCACAAGCCACGCAAAAGTTCGCGAGTACAATGCTTTAGCCATTGCATGTCGGTTTTCGATTGCCTATATAAATATTCAAAACCATGTTACACAGCATAGTTATTTTCGTTTAATATAAAGCAGTTAAAATAATGTCAATAAACCGATAATACTTGTAATTTAATCGAAAAATAAAACATAAATAATTCCAGACTAATGTAATTTTTGAATATTAAAAGCATTGAATTTATTTTAATATTGATTATAATGACATTTTTTTTCATGTACATACTCTTTCTATGACATATTATTTAATAATATTATATTAAATATTATTAAACACGCTTATTATACACGTGTACATAATATATTTTTAGATTTTAAATAAATTGCTATAATCCTGTTAAAAACTCACCTCTGGTAGTTTTAGTGGTATTTCTGTGATGTTTCCGCGCACATTGATCTGTCTGAGCAAAGCTACATGGACCACGTCTTCCGTTTTCAATCCCAACAAATGCGATACGACTGACAGTATTTCTCGGTCGTTTTCGGTCAGTTGACATTTTTCGCCGTCGACGTCCTGCGAACAGAACCAATTCGATTCATATTACGACCGTGATCTCTAATCAAGTAAATCGCATATACATTTTATCATAATACAATAATAACAACATGCATTACTTATTATTTATTACAAAGTTAAACTGTCGTTATGAAAAGAGTTTAAAGCAAGGAGGAGTAATAACCTAAATGTTCCGGTAAATAATAATAAACGTTTCAGTGAAAAAAGTAATTTTAGTGTTCATGTTATTCTTTTAAAATGTTTAAACGATGATGTACGTTATTTTCTTAATTAAAGTTATTTTTTGAGATGTATAAATAATTTAGATTCATTCAACTATAAGTTTTTCGTTTATTTTATTATATTGCACTGCAGTTATTTGTAATTTTTGTTTATAACTCTTATTAACCCTTATTAATTTTTACAATATGTTGGACGTAAAAAATTAAACTTTTAAATCACCATCGAACTGTGATTATTTATAATTAGCTGAACCCTACTATAAATTGGTCTTTTCAAACCCTTTTGTAAATTAATTCTCTACTTATTGTAGGTTTCATACTCATTAACGTAATGTGTTGATGATGGTTCATCGTATATTAATTATAATACTATACCACACACGTAATATATACATGTATTATACGCGGCAGAGGTACTTACGCGAAAAACCGTATTTCCCAGCCACAGGATGGCGGACAGGACGCAGAAAATGCCGTCGACCATGTTGAGCGGTATGCGCAACACGTTGAACGCCAATCGTAGTGCGTCAAACTTTTGCGCATCCGACACGCCGTCGATTGTTATGCAGCCCGACTGATTGAGATAGTTGTAGAACTCTGGTGGTTTCAACTTGTACAGTTCCACCAAGTCTTTGTTGTGCTGTCGATATGCAAATTCAAGAAACAATATAAATGTTTTATCGATTCATCTACAATCATAATAATATTATATCCGCGCTTCCAAATAAAATAGGTTTCCACCACATGAAAAACGTTTTTGACCAATCCGCGATACACGCACGATAATAGGAATAAATACGTCTTTGATTCCGTTTGTTTTTGCTAAAAAAATCCAGGACCATCCGATGGCAATCCGAATAATTGACGAATGCTCTATATGATGCCAAATTTGTATCGCGACCTAAGCCCAATTTATTCCTTAAGATCGAACGGGGTGTGCAACTTGTCACATATTTTCGGAATTGATACGAACACTAATTTATTAGGAATAGATTCAGTTTTTTTTTTTCTTTTTCAATTATTCACTATTTTAATTTATCATATCCCATTTAAAACCAACTTATGCGTAAATAGCAATAAAATGTGTATGAAATATGGTTCGTATTGGACAAGTAAACTACTTATTTTTATTCGTAAAGTTTAGTTAACATAGAAAAATGCAAATTAATTTAAAAGTTAAAAATTACTTGTTTTTTTTTTTTTTTGTGATCTTGTAGAAAATTATTACAAAAAAAGTAACTTAACTTAGTTAAAAATAAATTACTTTTTTCGCATAAAAATAATAATAATTATTGTTAAAATTTTACAAATAACATAATATAATGTAAGTCTTACTATTTTTATTTTTATTTTTTTAAAGTTAATTTACTATATGCATACAAATTATTGCAATAAGAAAACTCAATATTTATAAGATAATAATAACATAAGTAACGTGTTGAGGAATAAACTCATTGGTAATGCCTATTTTATTAATTAAGTAGATCTTTACATAATTTTTGTTTTAAACTACGTGGCTAATTTTTTGGGAGGATGGCAGTGGATATGAGATATTAAAGTATTGCTATGTGTGCTTATATTTTGGTGGAAACATTTATACACGGTTTTGATCAGTTCGGTAGTAGTATTAGTTTTTAAGCCCTTGTGTATATTACATATTATACACATTATACTGTACTGTCCGCTTACCCTTGCCCCTTCAGCGAGCTGATAGAACACATGATAATTCCGTTCGCCAGCACTCTGGAACGTGATCCTCGACTGTTCCAGCAAGTAATCTTGGATAATGCATCCTTTAATCATCCATTTGCCGTCGAAGCATACTTGCATGAACTTACCGAATCGACTGGAATTGTCGTTACGTGCGGTCTTGGCGTTTCCTGCGCATTAAAAACAATAGTCGGAGTCAGAACAAATTTTTCTATTTTGGGGCGTAGCAGAATTATTACATTAAAGGTGACATTCTATAGGGCAACGACTGTACACTATATTCTCACCTCTCGACTTGTACGTATAACCGTATCAAAAATGCATACCATTCGGTACCTAGCGTTCGGACGTGACAATGGTGTATTGCTTGGGTGGATTAAAAACGCTTATCGAGCGCATGTAACGAAATTTTAAGACACGTTGAAAATTAACGACGTATAATCGATATTGTTATAAAAATAATTCGTGATGGCCGGAGGCTTTGAAATTGAATGTTAAGAAGTCACATGACAAAATTATGGAATTATGAGTTATCAATAAATGGAAAATAATGTATTCGAAAATTTTGATTACAACCCCATTTTTAATATTAAAAAATAGAAAATTAAATTTTACTAGAAATTCACATTTCCTGATTTACAACGGGAGTAGCACTTACCCCCATTTCCCCCCTCTGGATCCAACGATGATTTAAGTATATTCACTAAATAAGAAATAAAATTATATTTTACCAATAGCAAGAACCGGTACCGAAATTATTTGGAAACAGTACCTTTATTTTTTTCAAGAAAGAACCGAAACAGGTAACGATTAATTCAAACAGTTTCAGTTCTTAATTTCTATACTAAATTGTTACGAAATTGCATTAATCAAATATGTATATTAATAGTAGATTATTTTTCAAAGTACAATTTAATTAGTAAATCTATTGGTTATTTCATATACATCGCCCGTACAATATATCAAGTTGAAACCCAATCATTCCTAGGACATTTCACTCAAGTCGACCGTTAAGATGTTACGCAACAACGCATAATACTTCATCGGTAGATGATTAGAAATTGTCATCCAACGTACTCCACGTTATAAATCTCTTATTATCTCAATTTCAGGAAAATATTTGCTATAAAAGGATTGTCCCGATTGTCTTACAATTTACTAAGCCTCTAAAAAATTATTATACTCCAAGTTCTCCGAGAAGGAAGAAATGTAATACCAATATTTCAAATCGCTGTCACACATTGACCTCGTTTTCTCTTTCTCTATCATCCTCTTCGACAACATTTTATGTAAAAAGTATGTTGTTCCCATAGAAAATATAAACGTAATAAACGTTGATTAGATTTTATCAATATAATGCGAGTTGATTCTGATAAAATGAAACTGCTGCTGGTTATCAGTCGTTCACGTTAATTAAAGGAAATTTGACCCTTCTAACTTCAGACTCACCAAGCGACGCATGAACTCTTCGAGTACCTTTATAAACGTGTTTAATTTTACACGTAATTAATCTAATAAAATAAACATAATTATTGTCTTCTTCCACTCATAAGCGGGTTAAAATGGATTATACACTTAATCTTGTTCACCGGAAAGCGTTTCCAACTTTCGTACACGCGGTAAACTCTTACACACGTACTTATAAGAATATTACATTAAATGTAAATAATATAAGAAGTACAGAAATAAGAATAAATACTAGAGTATGAATAATACGCGTACATTTTATGTGTCCAAGTGTTACTCGAATTCCTATGGTTTAAATTGCTAGTATACGATTATTGATTAAATGAAAATACTTTTCTAGCACGTACTGTATAAATATCAATAATGTATTTAATTTATCGTTTTATTGCAGTCATAAGGCAATCAAATTTTCCAATACCGTCTCGTCGGTCAACGATTAATTTTCATACATTTTATTATGTAATAGTTAACTCTATCAAGTACTGTTTGTTCAAGTTGATCTTATATTATTTAATAACGTATCAATATTGAGGTATTTAAATTTATTAGATTATACAAAACAATAATTATATTTTATTTTATCCATCAAAAATTATGTTCGTAGCCCGAAAAATTGAACTGTTCCGAAAGTGTGGTATTATTTGATTGGTAAAATAAATCAAATGAAACATTAATAATAGCATTCATTTTAGATTAACGGGCTACTGATACAAATACTGATTACAGAGTTTATTTTAGTTGTTACATAGAAGAGAAAATCTATCAATCCTGTTAAATTTATTAATTATCAACGTTATTAATTTTGAGTGTGATTAACATATTACTGCATCTAACTTATCTGAAAATCAACCGCAACTACACTTATTATTTATTCGAAATATTTCTACACACCAAAAGACTCTAGGATTGTGTTGGCTTCGAGTATCTGCTGTTCGACCCATGTGCTCACGTTACTGGTCACGGAGCACAAGTACTGCAAAATGAATTTGGTGGTCTCCGTCTTTCCCGCTCCACTCTCGCCTGATATCACGCACGACTGGTCGATTTCGCCAGTCTGCAGACTGTTGTAAGCTGCTTCGGCGACGGCGAACACGTGAGGTTCCAAAATCCCGATTTTTGATCCGTGGTATTGAAACACATGATCCTAGAGAATTAATGGAAAACAATTAATTATGCGTTTCGATAATGTACAGTTTTAGATAAGTAAGATTAACCACAGTACGGGACAAAAAAATGCTGAGGACAGCAAACATAATATTGCATAGGCAACCATCATACAACACACCTGCTGCAACACGTGAACAAAATATAATATGTTTTTCGGTCGTGATGAAAGTTTGGTTGCCTATTGTACAGTTTTTGCACACCCGGTCTTCTGCCCCACTACTGTGTTTATACTTTATAGTACAAGGTTGCTTACAATATCATAACATCAATAACATTTATGTAGTACTACATATTATATTATGTACAATCTTCTGTATACAATTGTTATCATATTTATTTCTTTTTAGTATTCAAAAACAGCCATTCTACCACGAATGTTCCTTTTAACCGTACAATGTTCATAATAAATTCATACGTTTCTAACCATATTGTCAGGGCATATATTTAATACATGATAATAATATAGTAATTTTCAACGTTCGTTACGAACTATAACTTATAAGTCATAACATTATAAATCAATGCTATTCTACGAAGGTGGATGATTCCCACTTATGTAATAAACATATTTGTAAACATACATATTAATTAGAACGGTAATTAAACAATGTCAAAAAGGTTATTGAATAACTAATAACCGTTGTAATGGTATCTATAATTTTACAATTTGAAAAAAATATATTTTTTTTGCCTTTTAATAACCTAGTTTTAGTTTAATATTCCAATCGTGTTTTATAAAAAAAAGTTTACTTTTTAGTAATTGAATCGATGATTGCAGAAAAAATGTATACTAGTCATGTGAACCTATGCGTTGAATATAAAAACGTCTTTCGTTGTACTTTTTTTATCAGATAAATAAATAATAATAATCAGCGTTTTTACGCTAAACGCATAGAAACACGTGACTAGTATACGGTTTTACTAATATCTCAATTTCAAAAAATATGTGACTCGTGACGTATTTGCAATCATCGATTCAATAAATTTCTGTAAAATTGTTAACGACAGAAAAAGTACAGAACACGTTTTTACCAATATCCAGAAATATTTCACTCTAAAAAAAAAATCAATAATTTTGGTATTATTATATATATATTTCTAACATTTATTATTAATTATCTTGGATAAATAAGAAGTAAAATTACACTTAGTGTAATTTAATTTGATGTATTTCACTTAAGTTTCAGGGTTTTAGCACATTATTTATCACTCCAGTACTTAATTACATTTCACTACGAAGAAATAAATTTAATTTAAAAAAATAAAATATATGAATAAATATCAAGGAAAGTTAAGTAATTGCAGTGTCTTATTATTTATTTTACAAATATTTTAACCATTTTAAATGTAATGAGCTACATTTATAATAGATAAAGACTTATTAGACGCATATTATACGACGAATAAATGTATATAATATTCTATGTATGCTATAATATTACCTAATGTATACTATAAGCATTTTTCTTAATAAATCATTAATAAATAATAATGATTATTATTTTTTATTTTACTCGGGTCAAGTTGAGGTCGTAAACATTTCTTGCAATTTTGACCTTTAATAAAATGCCATTATAACAATAGACTTTCAGATGGGTAAAATAATGTTATGTAGTATCTACCATTGATTAAAAATACTATTATAGATAGTTCGCCCTCGTTGTACTGAATATAATTTCGTATAACAATCGTTAGACAACAACATACGTATACGCTACAATCTGCTTGGTTTTAAAAGGTACATTTTCTTCTAAATGTATCAATATTAAAAATTGTGTTGAATAATTCAAAAAACCAAACATAACATAATAATTTTATAAATTAATCATTAACAAATTATTTCAATAGATGAAATTATTAAATATAGATAAAAAATTGTATTTATAAATATTTGTTTATTACGTATAATTTAACCAAAAACCGTACAACTTCATATTTTTAATTGAATTTAATATAATTTAACAATAGTACTTATACTTATCAAACAGCAATATTATTGTTGGTGATGTGAATGATAATACATTTTTAGTACTAAGGTGAGCTCAATTGCTTGACTCTATATATATATATATATATATATATATATATAACTATTGTAATAATCACAAAGTAAAATACTTTTGGAGTTTCAAAGCAATTAAAATAGTATTCACACCAGTGGATAATTTATATTTCAGAAATGCACAAGTAATACTACTTATTTTATCTATTGTAAACCCAGAGGTCAGTTTACTTGTTGATGTTCAAATTTTTTTTTAATAATTATATCATTGCACATTTGCAAATAGATTAAAATATTTAAACTTTCAAACTTTAATGTAGATACATCTACGAAATTATTTTAAAATATTATAAATTTTAATTATAAAATAATCATTAACGTATCTTACATTTTATTTTATAACATGAACAATTTAAAACCATTTATTATAATTGTGTTTTCCTTTTTTACATAATGCATGTTTGCAGTGGACATGTAAAAGCAAATCAAATTATTTACCTTATTTTTGGAAACTATTCTAAATGTTTTTGACCTAATTAAATCGGTAAAATGTTAATGTGGTTAATTCTTGAGTCTAAAATCTACCTACTTTTGATATTACTAACTATATTACCAACTACGACTGTGATTTTTAACCTTTTTTAGTCTGGACCTCTGAATTTTATTTATTTATTTATTTTTTTTATGGTGCTAAGAATATTTTTTTCAGAAAAATCTATTTTAAATTATTATTATTATTATTATTATTTTTTTTAATTTTCAAAACTAAAATTAATTAAAATCATCAAAATGATTTGGTTCGAATATAACGTTCAAAACGGTCGATCGTGCGAACACCCTGAGGGCCCATACTGAAAACCCGTACCGGCTGAGAACCTTTGATCCGTACAATAAATCGATTAAAATGTAACAAAGTAGAATTATTATATCATGTTATACAAAGTAAAGAGTATAATATTTTACAGCTGTCATGCATTAATTACATAGAGTTACAACGCGTATAAAATTGTATTTTTTTTCAACCTTGTAGAAATACCAGCAAGTTATATGCTGATAATTGGAAACAAATAACTTGATCATATCTTATAGAGCAGCACACGCGCTTGTACGTCTGTTCCCGGCAATCGCGAGTTTATAATATATGATATTTGTATTTACGTTTTATGAATAACGAACAGCGTGCAATATAATGATTCTGATCACTGGATAAACACGAAAGGCGATTAGTAAATACAAAATAAGACCTATGAAATGGTAGTAATAATTTATGCACTCAGGAGACACTACGGTTATTATTATTAAGTTAATGCATGTTATTTGGTAATATCTAGAACGTCCTATACAAGGATATAGTATTATACTTATTGTTCATCCGTGCAGTATAAATTAAGTTTGCGTAAATTAAATTAACAACAAGTGCCTATACATAGAGACCACTAGAGAAATTAATTATAATTTTCAGCAAGGAAAACCAAATGAGTTTTATAAAACGTTATTTCGGAGACTGGATCAACGAGTGTGATCGTAGATATCCGTTTTCTCTTCGCTTAACTCGTCACAGGGCAATAAATATTATTAGATACATATTGAAACAAGCTACGTGTTGATTTTACTGATAGGATTATGTCTATTCGGTACTTTAAAACGAAGTATTTTACAAATGCACCAACAATTTTCTTCGTAGTTGCGAAAAACTGACGAAAAATTATGAAAATACAGCAACATTTACAGCTTACCAATTTTTGATCAAATTGAAATTTTGTTATTATTATAACTCAAAATATAATAATTGTAGAGACATAACATTTCCTCTGAATGCTTATATTACCGTTTGCTATAGAAAATTAAAATTCCAAAATATTTTTTTTCCTCTTTTTATGAAAAATTGAAATGTTCATGTTTTCTCAACTTTTTTTTTCAAAAATGATGATAAAACAATTTAAGTTTGACAAAAAATGTTGAAAATGTAATAAACATTTCCTTGTACATATTTATTACTGATGACAAAAAATAATTTTTAATTGTTTTCTAAATAATTGTAATATTTCATTGGAATGTTAACATTAAACTCGTACGACAAAAACATTTGAATACCATTTTAATAAAACAGTATTTAAAAATAGTATTGGTAAATCATGTATTAAATACGGCAGCTATAATTGGAAAAATCTAAAACTAAATCTTAATTGAATAATAGTAGATATATCCGACAAAAACAGAATTACGTTGTCTTCAAAATTAAATTATTTTACCGATTATCATTTACATATTCTTATGTATTATTATGTTTGTTCCTTCAGCTGAAACTTTTTATTTCGTATATAGATGACACTCGTCACATTATCATTTACTGTGCTACGCAAACTTGCGAATAATAAATAACTACGGAATGTAGTTAAGAATTACTTATGTTATTATTATTTGTATTTTGAATATTTGACTAGTTATTCGTTTTAAATACTTAAAAAAAATAGCTAAGTTACGGACACAGTATTTTTTCACATCTGCTTGTGTTGCTTCCATATTATTAGAAAATAGTTTAACCGTAGTCGCATACATTATACTAGATGAAAAGTTTAATGATTAATTTGAATTGAAAAAACAGTCTTTATATCGAATGAAAATGTAATGAAACACCGCAACAGCGCATGAATCTACAAGCAATTTTTCGATACCTCCAACAATAGTTTTCAACGCGACAACCGCAACTCTTTCATTACACAAAATGATACGTTTACCATCCGTAAACACATAACATACCATGTACTACTAATGTATCATCCACGTATACGTATTATATTACTGCAGGTGTCGATTGTATAACAAAGTAATAATCAAATCAGCGCGTAAAATGTTTTATATGGATATTGAAGTTAATCTACCAGGTATTACACGCACGACGGAATGGTTTTATAGATTATTTTTATCGAAACGTCTATCACGTCAAAAAATCATCCACGTGCATTTGCATGCAAATTTCCGACAGTGTAACGAAAAGTGAAATGTTTACATTGTAAACATTGTAAATACAAATGTACATTTACAGCTGGTTTTTACTATGAACGTACATGACGTCGTATTGCGTGCACACTTTTGGCCAACATTTAAATTATGCATGGTGTAATTAAAACGAACGACGTCGTAAGAACGCGTAAATGATAGAAAAACTCTTGTATGGAAAATGGTGTTGGCAATGCCGTTCATATCTTGTGATAATTAATTCTCAACAACTCATCCGGCGGTGAAGTGAGTGCGTAGTGTGCGCAAGAGTATGTGTACCACAACTTTACATTTTGTGACCGTTGCAAAGGCAATATACATATTTATTTCCTTTCAACGCGGGTGTAATTTAGAGCTTTAATATATATGTATATATAATACCTATATAGTTTTCTATGAACTTTTTCGATTAACTTCGCATTATTTGATATTAAATTGTACATTGATTCTCAATACATACACCGATTTTCTCTGTCCACTAAACGGTGTATGCATAATCTAGTCCAGGATATAAATTATTCGAATACAAATATTTTGATAGTAGAAACATATTACACATAAAACTTATTCATATTTACACATCGTAGGAGTATGATTATGGTAAAACGCATATTATAATACTATAAAATCTGGATCTTTTTTTTTTCAAATAAAATCTTTAAATAACATTTTTGTCCAACAATCTTTATGATATTGTAATGATAATTCAATAATTGAATAAATAAATAATTTATGATTACACACCAAACGATAGTTTTATTTCGAAATAAATCAATTACATTTTTGTTTTCATATGAATTGAATTATTTTTCAATCTAGTTATAATATTAATCGAATAAAATAATATTGCGTGCTTCCATACTCCACCACTACAAGGACCAATACTGTTTTCGAAAGAAATAAAAAATCTAATAATCATTATTTAATCACAGCACAGTACTTTTAAGCTATATAACGAATAAAATAACGTTTTATTCGATCTAATCGTCTTACTATACATTACTATTTATACAATGTTCGAGTGAAAAGATTTTTTAATATTTTATAATACTCTTCTAGTCGAATACGATTGTCGTGAAATTATAATAATAATACTATGTCGTCGACATAATGATGTATAATAATATTATAATTTTCTCTCGGAAATCGATCGAGTTCGCTATATTACTGTAGAAGGAAAAAAAAAATTCTGTCGACATGATTATAATTACATACTATTATTATTATTATTATTATTATTATTTATTATTATTATTATTGTTACTACTATAACTATTCGGTTGTCATCGAGCAGCAACGCCGCAGACTGCAAAAAAAATTCGAAACGACGTCGGACGCCGTCGGCAGAGAACGGCGGAGATCGGTTCTCCGCACCCGCATGACCGACCGTCCGACACCGACAACGCACAGCCGCACATGCACACACGCGCGTCGACACGGAACAGTCATACGCGTGCGCGACGCACTCGTCCGTTTCGATTACTTTTTAATTTCGTTTTTTTACTCATCTATTCGGTTTGTTTGTTCTTCGATCAAAAACGTCCGGAGCCTTTGCCGTCCGTCATTTCGTCGCACGAACCCGCGTACATGTGCTGAATTTCACCAGCGCGTCGAATTCTCGTCGTCCGAACGACCAACATCGAGTTCTCGACAACACAACAAGTGAACGACGAAGCCGCCGCGGCCACCGCCGCCTCCATCACCACCACCGCCGCCACCGCCGCCGCCGCCGCCGCCGCGACCCGCGGTCACGTGGTCTTCACGCTCATCGTTTACAATCGCACCACAGCGGCTGTTGGGGACGCGACGCTGCGCGCTCATCTGTACCTGACCACCGGCAGGAGCGGCAGGAGCACTTCGCGATGGACAAACGTAAGACCAAGAAGCTGTACAAGATCGTGTTGACCGGAGGACCGTGCGGCGGCAAGACCACCGGTCAGTCGAGGCTGTGCACGTTCTTCGAGAACCTCGGCTGGAAGGTATACCGTGTGCCGGAGACTGCCAACGTGCTGCTCAGCGGCGGCGTCAAGTTCTCCGAGCTGAACGACGACGAGGCGCACCGGTTCCAGGAAGACCTGTTGCGGTGCATGCTGCAGATCGAGAACACGTATTTCCAGCTGGGCGAGTCGTGCCCGCGCGACTGTCTAATCATATGCGATCGGGGCGCGATGGACGCGGCCGCGTACATACCCAGCAACAAGTGGGAGCGGATCATACGCGACAACAACCTGAACGTGGTGGACCTGCGGGACAACCGGTACGACCAGATCATACACATGGTGTCGGCCGCATGTGGTGCCGAGGACTTCTACACCACCGAGGACCACAGCAGCCGCGGTGAGGACGTGTCACTGGCCAAGAGTTTAGACGTCAAGGCGTCCGCGTCCTGGATTGGGCACCCGTACTTCGACGTCATCGACAACTCGTCCGACTTCGAGAACAAGATATGCCGCATGATAGCGGCCGTGTGCCAGAAACTGGGCCTGGACACTGGTGACCGGTTGGAGACCAACTCGAAGAAGCGCAAGTGGCTGGTCAAGGGCCTGCCGGGCGACCACGTGTTCCCGCCGTTCCAGGACTTCGACGTGGTACACAACTATTTGCAAACGTACACGACCAACATGCAGGCCCGGCTCCGGAAGCGCGGCCAGAAAGGCCACTGGAGCTACACGCACACCATCCGCCGGCCCCGGGTCCGCGGCCAAGTAATCGAGGTGAAGACCCAGCTGAGCCACCGCGACTACTTGAACCTGTTGACGCAGAAGGACGAGACGCACTTTCCGATTTACAAGAAGAGGCGGTGCTTCATATACTACAATCAGTATTTCCAGTTGGACATTTACTGCAAACCGTGCCATCCCAGGTGCAACGGGTTGGTTTTGCTAGAGACGTACTCCGCCCTCGAGGACCAAAAGCTATTAGATCGTCTGCCAAAGTTCCTAAACATCGAAGCCGAGGTGACCGGAAACGCGGTGTACTCCATGTTCAACTTGTCGCTGGTCGAAGACTGGGACAAGTCCAAACTTTTCTGTCACTACCTCAAAGGCCCGGACGAAGATCTGAACACTGCAGGCGAACACAGAGTCAACCAAGTGAGTTACATTCACACGAATGGTAAACGAAAGTGAACGGTGACTTTGTACTTATCATTTTTTTAACATAGTATTACGATTTAGTTTCTAGATTTTTATTATTTTACGACATCCATTTGATTTTTATTCCATTCGTTTTTCGTGTTTTATTATAGTATTATTTTATCGAATCAAAACCAAACAGTTGTATAACAGTTGAAATTATTTTATGTAAAATATTCCAAGTATACCTATACCAAAGTAATTTCAATTGTGTATTCACAACTCGAAAATACCACATATGTCGAGTTTTTATTAAATTCTAACTGAAAAACTATGTATTTCTCGATGTACTCTTGTTTATGTATCCATTACAAAAATTATGTCCAAATTTTGATGACAGTATATTTGTATATATTTTTACGCCATAATTAAAACGAATTTTGAACAACAAAGTATTTATTATATTCTATATCATTATTAAATTTAATATGTGCGTGTATTTATATGTATATTGGGTATAAGTAATTTTTTGTTATTACTCTTATCAGAGTTTAGCGTTTCATTTCCATCAATAATGTTAAATGAATCAGTTTAAATATCATTGCACCGAGAAAATGATTTCTAGTAAAAACAGCTTATCAGATTAGCAACTGTGTAGAAAAAAAAACATTAACTACATCGTGATTATTATATGTTTTTAACGAATTCGTAAAATACGTAATATTAGGGAGTTCGCTGTACGTTAATTATTTCGATTTCGAGAACCTATCGAAGCAGTTTGAAACGATGTTATTTGAATATAGCAGAAAACGCGTGGGATTCAAATCTATCTCTTTCGAGTGTTAAAGTGCAGAGGTCGACTCGTAATCGCCGTATCACTGTGGTCTTATCTTATTATTGGTACATCTAGGTTCTGGGTAACTCGGTGAACGGTTGAAGATGAAACATGACTCTGTAACAACTACCGGTAAGTAAAGAGTTAATGATAATACTAATATATCTAAACATTAAAAAGAATAATTACAATCGCTCATAAGTTAAAAAAAAAAAAAAAAAAAAAAGTAGTAATAAAGTTTATTCCTTGATCGACCAATTCCGACCTAATGCAACGGTATGCATGCCTAAGAATAAATTCACAATTTTAATATATGATATGAGTTACATAATTTATCTTTAACCCAAACAAAAACGGTTGATACATTATTTTTTTGTATACGCGAAGCAATAAATATTTTGAATGTTTGTATGTACATCTATGAATATCTAAATTCAAATCCCAATCAAATTTCAATAAGAAAAAAGTAAGAAATGATATACCACAGTTTTTTTTTTTTTTTATATATATATATATAGATTTATAGCATCAACAACAATAGAAGCAATTTTGACAGGATTTTAAGGTAAGAGATAAAATTAATAAAATTATAATTTTAAGTAAACGAGAAAAACTGCGAATTACCTACACGCGGTTATAAATTTCGAAAACGAAATAATTGAATCATTTACGTTAGTCGAATATAACACGTGGTACGTTTACTTGGTTTTAAATGCCATTATTGTCAAGTTTAACGTAGAGACTGATGTTTGATTTTTAACAATATTTTACACGATTATTGCGACATTACTCATGTGAGTGTATTCGTGGTGGTGAACCGACACATACGGTAAATAATTGATAGAAAAATATTATTATCATACGTCGACAGGTGGACGAATGAAATCCTACAGCGGTTAATTATAAATACGTAAATAATATAGGTTAGGTTGTACAGTAATTATTGTCCACCGCCGATGGAGCTATTCAATATTATCTGTGTCTAATGCGCACAGGACTATGTCGCATCCAGGGGGGGCCTTGGGGATCGCACCCCATCCTAAGCCCGTACCGTATTTATAAAAAAATGTATATTGTTAACAAAAAATGCATATTATAATATGTACTATCATACGACACGCACAAGTATATAGATAGAGCCATAGAGGTATGACGGTTGAAAGGAGTTTTTCCACACTTCGGAGACTAAAAATATAGCTTCATTCAATGATGACTGAAGATAGACTATCAGCATTATGTCTAATTAATTTATATCATAAAGTAGATATTCTAGATCAAATAGATCATATTATTGATATTTTTGCCAACTTTAAAAATAGACAACTTGAATTTGTGTTGTAAAAATTGTTGTTTTCTTTTTGTTATAAGATTTTGTAAAATTATAACTTGCCCCCAATCCCTACTAACCAAGACTTTGGAGCTGATCCTGGTCGCACCGACAACGCGTATAGTTTTAAATCATAAAACGCATAAAACATAATTGCAGTGCACGAATGCCACTATCTACATGTGCGATAAAACAGAAGACCAGCAGAAAATATATTCCGTGCACATATCGCTGTGTACATATTATAATGCAATTTTATTTTATTTTTTGTTTATTTTTTATTTTACTATCTGCATATCGGTGATCCGGTGATTTCGAATTTGGGGTCGTATTTTTTCTCTTCTATTATTTGTTTTTTCGCACACTCTGACAGAAATATTATTTTTCGCGCGTACGCTCCAGGGCATGTACCGAACTCGCTGAACTCGTATGTATGACGGCGTAAGCTTCTCTACACATATGATGATTATATTCTAATAACATCGCATCATTGAGTTTACCGTTTGCGGTGATGCATATTTGCATATAATATTATAATATTTTAATATTATTATATTTTTCTAATACGCTAGGTACGCAATATTATCATGTTTTGCACTCGAACAGCTTTCCGGTTTCTCCGCAGTCGTTTATGTGCCGGATGAAAAATTCGTTTGCTATTAAAATGTATTTATAAAAATAGTTTTCAATACATATTATATTTTTACGGTTCAAACTTGAAGATTTGTACATTATGTTTTTAATTAACATTATGATAAACGTATAAAATGAAATTACTCTTAAAGAAAAGTTTGCAAAAAAAGAATGAAATCTTTGTGACTGACAAACAAAGCACAGAGCTGCATGATCATATTCATATTATCATAATGTAGTTATAAAATATGATGATTATGTTTAATATTGAAAACAAACTACTTAACAAATTACATGTAAAGTTTTCTTAAGCTTAGAACATTAGTAAATTACTAGTAATTTAATGTAGGAGACTAATGTTTTACAATTGGAAAATTTACCCAACGATGCCTGATGTTTTCGAGTCTCGTAAAAGCGTCTTCTAAAAAATTAAAGCGGAATACTGCAACGAATATATCATATATGATTACGGATATACGATTATTAATCCAATTATGTACACTAAATTGTTCAAATTTCATAACGTGAATCGTAATTTTATTAGATAAACGCTCGGACATCCGATAATACGATACGATATGTGTACATGTATAACATTGATAATCAAATAGTTACTCGTAAATATCTGTGTGTTATAATGTAAACAAAAATACACGTAACTGGTTCAAATCGTTAAATATTCTGTGCATATTTTATTTATGCGCATAAATTAATTAGTTTAATAATGTATTTATTTTGTATATAAAGCTTATCGAATCGCATTAAAAACGCACTATAAAATCAACAGAACCGCGGAGATAAATAGGTTAATAAATAAATAATTTTCAATCTAATGAGAATGTATTAATTATCATGAAGTCTATCAACATTCTTGGTGTAATTTTTCATTAGCTTTTCGAAATGGTCGTAATATATTTTGAATACATAAATATAACAAAATAAGTTTGCTTTTCAAAACTTGTACAAGCAACGAATTTTAACCGAATTATTATTGAAATATTTTATTTGTTATTATTTCAAATAAAATCGTATGAAATAACCGAAGGATACATTTATTTATTTTGAAAAATTTATATTTTACTTACTAAATAAAAATAATTTTAATAATAAACATTTGTTCGTATGTCACTTAGTGTTAAACAATTTAAGGCACATTATGGTAATTGTACGAGTATTAAAATCAACTGCCCAAATACTCAAAAAAATATAAATAATCTAAACCTAATTAATAGTTTTTATTTCTAATATATACTGTCCATTTTGAATAGACTAAAATACCAACAGTCAGGCGTGGATCCAAGAGGGAGGAAGATAAAGGGCTATAATGTTTTTTTTTTCAATTATTTGTGATGAAATAACAGATGTCAAAATTTAAGCTTAAATTTATATACATCAAAAGTTTATGAGTTATCATATAATAGAAACATGGTTGGGATTGTAGGCGCAGTTTCAATTTTTTATCTTATTCAACTAAATACAACAAATATTTTGTTATCAATCATTAAAAATACTGATTCTGTGTCATTACCAAAAAAAAAAAGTTAAAGACATGTGTACTCTATGGATTGATCGCTATGACTCAATTATTACTTTTCGTGAACTTTTCCCATGAACCTAACATTTCCCGTGAATGCTCTTGATATAATCGAAGAAGATTTTGACCGTGAAATATCAACTTAAACAGTAAGCTTAAGTTCTTCTATAAAAATAAGCGATTTTCTTGTCATCTTAGATACAGTTGAAAATTTGTTTTCATACACTAAAGATTTAAGTATTAGACTACAAAGTCTACAACAAAATGTATCGAGTGCTTTCTTACTTTTTAAAGAAATAATTATAATATTTGAAGCGAAGAGAAACAACAATGAACAATTTTCGAACTATTGTGCATCGATTATGCATCTGAAATAGCATAAAAAATTAGAAAAAAAACAAAAGTTTCTAGAGTGTGTGGTTGTCAAACAAAAAAAAAAATAATATTGAAATCTCAAATCCTGAAGAATGGTTTAGAATTGATATTTATATTCTCTTTATTGACCATTTTATCACAGAATTGAACTGAAGATTTAACGATAGATTTAAAGATATTATTCCATTAAAATAATTGATTCCTGCTAACAAAAATAAGTATAAAACAAATTACATACAATATTAAAAGTGCCAATAATGTATGATGACGATATACCAGCGAATTCTGACTTAGAAATACAAACTGAATTAGAATACTGGCAAACAAAATAGGCCAACACAGAAAATCCAAACCCCAAAACTGCTAATGAAACATTAGTACATTGTGATGTATTTTACTGATAATTTACTGTATTTTATTGATACATGAGATATAAAATATAAGACAGGTTAAATAGGTTAGTAGTACTTTATATTCATAAAGATATACGAAATGACATCGATGAAGTCGTAAACAGATTTCCTCGTCAAAATCAAAGGTGAATGAAAATTAAAAGATGAAAATGAAAGATTGGTCAAGACTAATGAACTTATTAATTTTTATATTTTTCCATTTAATAATATATTATAGCGAA